AACAATACCCTTGTGAGATTCTTTATTTAGGCTTATAATATAATAAAATATAGGCATAATATAATATAAAAAAAAACGAATTGAAGTATTTGAAGTGATATAATATATCAGTTTAAATGCTTAAATTTGTTAACATATTAAATTATTTTGAAAACAAAGCATTTAAATAGATCTAATAGCTAAATATTTTCAAGAAAAATGAATATAATCTAATCTTTTATAATCTAACCATCCCTGAAACTCCCCCACAGACAAAAACATCTATTTAAACTATGTATTTTGAATTTGCACGCGGGTGGGTGTGTAATTGTTACCGTTCTGTGTCCATAACCGTTATTTCCACCACTTTAATCAAACCACTCTTCTTTAAAACATTATGATTTGATTTTATTTCACATGTCTATGCGTTTCTCGTTGCCTCTCGTATTGAGCTATTTGGTCCGCACACACGACTCACTGCCAATCACACGTGCTCACATCAATCTCTTTCTATGAAACCTGTAACCTGCATTCACCAGTTTTCTCTCTATAGCGGTGGACCAGAGCACTGCAATTATTTCTCACTTAAACTACAATCAAATGGATTTCCCCACACGTTTCGCGTCAGTCCTCTGTGTGTCATTTTATTCTTTTCTGCGCGGCCGCCGCTTAGAAGTGCGCGGCCGAGGCATCAGAAGTGCGCGGCCGCGCACGCGCGCAGCTTAGAGGGAACATTGCCCCTAACCCTACCCATCACACACACACACACCCAACCCCTAAACCTACCCATCACACACACACACACCCGACCCCTAACCCTACCCATCACACACACAAACACACACACACACACACACTAACCCAATCTTAAACCTACCCATCACACACACACCCGACCCCTAACCCTACCCATCACACACACACACACCCAACCCCTAAACCTACCCATCACACACACACCCGACCCCTAACCCTACCCATCACACACACACACACCCAACCCCTAAACCTACCCATCACACACACACCCGACCCCTAAACCTACCCACACACACACACACACACACACCCAACCCCTAAACCTACCCATCACACACACACCCGACCCCTAAACCTACCCATCACACACACACCCGACCCCTAAACCTACCCATCACACACACACCCGACCCCTAAACCTACCCATCACACACACACACACCCGACCCCTAAACCTACCCATCACACACACAAACACACACACACACACACTAACCCAATCTTAAACCTACCCATCACACACACACCCGACCCCTAACCCTACCCATCACACACACACACACCCAACCCCTAAACCTACCCATCACACACACACCCGACCCCTAAACCTACCCATCACACACACACACACACCCAACCCCTAAACCTACCCATCACACACACACACACACACACACCCAACCCCTAAACCTACCCATCACACACACACCCGACCCCTAAACCTACCCATCACACACACACCCGACCCCTAACCCTACCCATCACACACACACACACCCAACCCCTAAACCTACCCATCACACACACACCCGACCCCTAAACCTACCCACACACACACACACACACCCAACCCCTAAACCTACCCATCACACACACACCCGACCCCTAAACCTACCCATCACACACACAAACACACACACACACACTAACCCAATCTTAAACCTACCCATCACACACACACCCGACCCCTAACCCTACCCATCACACACACACACACCCAACCCCTAAACCTACCCATCACACACACACCCGACCCCTACACACACCCGACCCCTAAACCTACCCATCACACACACAAACACACACACACACACACACACTAACCCAATCTTAAACCTACCCATCACACACACACGCACACACACACACACACTGAGACAGGACCACACACACACACACACTAACCCGACCCCTAAACCTACCCATCACACACACACACACACACACACTGAGACAGGACCACACACACACACACACACACACTAACCCGACCCCTAAACCTACCCATCACACACACACACACACACACACACACACACTGAGACAGGACCACACACACACACTAACCCGACCCCTAAACCTACCCATCACACACACACACACACACACACACACTGAGACAGGACCACACACACACACTAACCCGACCCCTAAACCTACCCATCACACACACACACACACACACACACACACACGCACGCTCTGTGGGAGCCTGTGAGATTTACCATGTCGATATGATCCCACTCAGTGGCAGCAGGATCTTCATCCACGGCCTCGTCGACTCCCTCAGTGTCGTCTTCCTCTCTGCGCTCCTCCTCCTCTTCGTCTCTGCGCTCCTCCTCCTCTTCCTCCTCTTCATCTGAGGGGCCGAGATCGGCTCCGGCTCTGCTGTTGTCTTCCTCTCTGTGCTCCTCCTCTTCCTCTCTGCGCTCCTCGTGATGGACTCTGCTGTGAGACTGCTCTGCTTCAGGCGGCTCCTCCACATCAGACACCTCGATGAAACTCTCTGCAGAGGCCAGACGCACAGGTGTGTGAGGATACAGGCGTGTGAGGATACAGGTGTGTGAGGATACAGGTGTGTGAGGATACAGGTGTGTGAGGATACAGGTGTGTGAGGATACAGGTGTGTGAGGATACAGGTGTGTGAGGATACAGCTGTGTGAGGATACAGGTGTGTGAGGATACAGGTGTGTGAGGATACAGGTGTGTGAGGATACAGCTGTGTGAGGATACAGGTGTGTGAGGATACAGCTGTGTGAGGATACAGGTGTGTGAGGATACAGGTGTGTGAGGATACAGCTGTGTGAGGATACAGCTGTGTGAGGATACAGGTGTGTGAGGATACAGGTGTGTGAAGCTCTTTGCAGAGGCCAGACGCACAGGTGTGTGAGGATACAGGTGTGTGAGGATACAGGTGTGTGAGGATACAGCTGTGTGAGCTACAGGTGTGTGAAGCTCTCTGCAGAGGCCAGACGCACAGGTGTGTGAGGATACAGGTGTGTGAGGATACAGCTGTGTGAGGATACAGGTGTGTGAAGCTCTCTGCAGAGGCCAGACGCACAGGTGTGTGAGGATACAGGCGTGTGAGGATACAGGTGTGTGAAGCTCTCTGCAGAGGCCAGACGCACAGGTGTGTGAGGATACAGGTGTGTGAGGATACAGGTGTGTGAGTATACAGCTGTGTGAGGATACAGGTGTGTGAAGCTCTCTGCAGAGGCCAGACGCACAGGTGTGTGAGGATACAGGTGTGTGAGGATACAGCTGTGTGAGGATACAGGTGTGTGAAGCTCTCTGCAGAGGCCAGACGCACAGGTGTGTGAGGATACAGGCGTGTGAGGATACAGGTGTGTGAAGCTCTCTGCAGAGGCCAGACGCACAGGTGTGTGAGGATACAGGTGTGTGAGGATACAGCTGTGTGAGGATACAGGTGTGTGAAGCTCTCTGCAGAGGCAAGACGCACAGGTGTGTGAGGATACAGGTGTGTGAGGATACAGGTGTGTGAAGCTCTCTGCAGAGGCCAGACGCACAGGTGTGTGAGGATACAGGCGTGTGAGGATACAGGTGTGTGAGGATACAGGTGTGTGAGGATACAGGTGTGTGAGGATACAGGTGTGTGAGGATACAGGTGTGTGAAGCTCTCTGCAGAGGCCAGACGCACAGGTGTGTGAGGATACAGGCGTGTGAGGATACAGGTGTGTGAGGATACAGGTGTGTGAGGATACAGGTGTGTGAGGATACAGGTGTGTGAGGATACAGGTGTGTGAGGATACAGCTGTGTGAGGATACAGCTGTGTGAGGATACAGGTGTGTGAGGATACAGGTGTGTGAGGATACAGGTGTGTGAGGATACAGCTGTGTGAGGATACAGGTGTGTGAGGATACAGCTGTGTGAGGATACAGGTGTGTGAGGATACAGGTGTGTGAGGATACAGCTGTGTGAGGATACAGCTGTGTGAGGATACAGGTGTGTGAGGATACAGGTGTGTGAAGCTCTCTGCAGAGGCCAGACGCACAGGTGTGTGAGGATACAGGTGTGTGAGGATACAGGTGTGTGAGGATACAGCTGTGTGAGCTACAGGTGTGTGAAGCTCTCTGCAGAGGCCAGACGCACAGGTGTGTGAGGATACAGCTGTGTGAGGATACAGGTGTGTGAAGCTCTCTGCAGAGGCCAGACGCACAGGTGTGTGAGGATACAGGCGTGTGAGGATACAGGTGTGTGAAGCTCTCTGCAGAGGCCAGACGCACAGGTGTGTGAGGATACAGGCGTGTGAGGATACAGGTGTGTGAGGATACAGGTGTGTGAGGATACAGGTGTGTGAGGATACAGGTGTGTGAGGATACAGGTGTGTGAAGCTCTCTGCAGAGGCCAGACGCACAGGTGTGTGAGGATACAGGCGTGTGAGGATACAGGTGTGTGAGGATACAGGTGTGTGAGGATACAGGTGTGTGAGGATACAGGTGTGTGAGGATACAGGTGTGTGAGGATACAGGTGTGTGAGGATACAGCTGTGTGAGGATACAGGTGTGTGAGGATACAGGTGTGTGAGGATACAGGTGTGTGAGGATACAGCTGTGTGAGGATACAGGTGTGTGAGGATACAGCTGTGTGAGGATACAGGTGTGTGAGGATACAGGTGTGTGAGGATACAGCTGTGTGAGGATACAGGTGTGTGAGGATACAGGTGTGTGAAGCTCTCTGCAGAGGCCAGACGCACAGGTGTGTGAGGATACAGGTGTGTGAGGATACAGGTGTGTGAGGATACAGCTGTGTGAGCTACAGGTGTGTGAAGCTCTCTGCAGAGGCCAGACGCACAGGTGTGTGAGGATACAGGTGTGTGAGGATACAGCTGTGTGAGGATACAGGTGTGTGAAGCTCTCTGCAGAGGCCAGACGCACAGGTGTGTGAGGATACAGGCGTGTGAGGATACAGGTGTGTGAAGCTCTCTGCAGAGGCCAGACGCACAGGTGTGTGAGGATACAGGTGTGTGAGGATACAGGTGTGTGAGTATACAGCTGTGTGAGGATACAGGTGTGTGAAGCTCTCTGCAGAGGCCAGACGCACAGGTGTGTGAGGATACAGGTGTGTGAGGATACAGCTGTGTGAGGATACAGGTGTGTGAAGCTCTCTGCAGAGGCCAGACGCACAGGTGTGTGAGGATACAGGCGTGTGAGGATACAGGTGTGTGAAGCTCTCTGCAGAGGCCAGACGCACAGGTGTGTGAGGATACAGGTGTGTGAGGATACAGCTGTGTGAGGATACAGGTGTGTGAAGCTCTCTGCAGAGGCAAGACGCACAGGTGTGTGAGGATACAGGTGTGTGAGGATACAGGTGTGTGAAGCTCTCTGCAGAGGCCAGACGCACAGGTGTGTGAGGATACAGGCGTGTGAGGATACAGGTGTGTGAGGATACAGGTGTGTGAGGATACAGGTGTGTGAGGATACAGGTGTGTGAGGATACAGGTGTGTGAAGCTCTCTGCAGAGGCCAGACGCACAGGTGTGTGAGGATACAGGCGTGTGAGGATACAGGTGTGTGAGGATACAGGTGTGTGAGGATACAGGTGTGTGAGGATACAGGTGTGTGAGGATACAGGTGTGTGAGGATACAGCTGTGTGAGGATACAGCTGTGTGAGGATACAGGTGTGTGAGGATACAGGTGTGTGAGGATACAGGTGTGTGAGGATACAGCTGTGTGAGGATACAGGTGTGTGAGGATACAGCTGTGTGAGGATACAGGTGTGTGAGGATACAGGTGTGTGAGGATACAGCTGTGTGAGGATACAGCTGTGTGAGGATACAGGTGTGTGAGGATACAGGTGTGTGAAGCTCTCTGCAGAGGCCAGACGCACAGGTGTGTGAGGATACAGGTGTGTGAGGATACAGGTGTGTGAGGATACAGCTGTGTGAGCTACAGGTGTGTGAAGCTCTCTGCAGAGGCCAGACGCACAGGTGTGTGAGGATACAGGTGTGTGAGGATACAGCTGTGTGAGGATACAGGTGTGTGAAGCTCTCTGCAGAGGCCAGACGCACAGGTGTGTGAGGATACAGGCGTGTGAGGATACAGGTGTGTGAAGCTCTCTGCAGAGGCCAGACGCACAGGTGTATGAGGATACAGGTGTGTGAGGATACAGGTGTGTGAGTATACAGCTGTGTGAGGATACAGGTGTGTGAAGCTCTCTGCAGAGGCCAGACGCACAGGTGTGTGAGGATACAGGTGTGTGAGGATACAGCTGTGTGAGGATACAGGTGTGTGAAGCTCTCTGCAGAGGCCAGACGCACAGGTGTGTGAGGATACAGGCGTGTGAGGATACAGGTGTGTGAAGCTCTCTGCAGAGGCCAGACGCACAGGTGTGTGAGGATACAGGTGTGTGAGGATACAGCTGTGTGAGGATACAGGTGTGTGAAGCTCTCTGCAGAGGCAAGACGCACAGGTGTGTGAGGATACAGGTGTGTGAAGCTCTCTGCAGAGGCCAGACGCACAGGTGTGTGAGGATACAGGTGTGTGAGGATACAGCTGTGTGAGGATACAGGTGTGTGAAGCTCTCTGCAGAGGCAAGACGCACAGGTGTGTGAGGATACAGGTGTGTGAGGATACAGCTGTGTGAGGATACAGGTGTGTGAGGATACAGGTGTGTGAGGATACAGGTGTGTGAGGATACAGGTGTGTGAGGATACAGCTGTGTGAGGATACAGGTGTGTGAGGATACAGGTGTGTGAGGATACAGGTGTGTGAGGATACAGCTGTGTGAGGATACAGGTGTGTGAGGATACAGCTGTGTGAGGATACAGGTGTGTGAGGATACAGGTGTGTGAGGATACAGCTGTGTGAGGATACAGGTGTGTGAGGATACAGGTGTGTGAGGATACAGCTGTGTGAGGATACAGGTGTGTGAGGATACAGGTGTGTGAGGATACAGGTGTGTGAAGCTCTCTGCAGAGGCCAGACGCACAGGTGTGTGAGGATACAGGTGTGTGAGGATACAGGTGTGTGAGGATACAGGCGTGTGAGGATACAGGTGTGTGAAGCTCTCTGCAGAGGCCAGACGCACAGGTGTGTGAGGATACAGCTGTGTGAGGATACAGGTGTGTGAGGATACAGGTGTGTGAGGATACAGGCGTGTGAGGATACAGGTGTGTGAGGATACAGCTGTGTGATGGATACAGGTGTGTGAGGATACAGGCGTGTGAGGATACAGGTGTGTGAGGATACAGCTGTGTGAGGATACAGGTGTGTGAGGATACAGGTGTGTGAGGATACAGCTGTGTGAGGATACAGGTGTGTGAGGATACAGGTGTGTGAGGATACAGCTGTGTGAGGATACAGGTGTGTGAGGATACAGGTGTGTGAGGATACAGGTGTGTGAAGCTCTCTGCAGAGGCCAGACGCACAGGTGTGTGAGGATACAGCTGTGTGAGGATACAGCTGTGTGAGGATACAGGTGTGTGAAGCTCTCTGCAGAGGCCAGACGCACAGGTGTGTGAGGATACAGGTGTGTGAGGATACAGGTGTGTGAGGATACAGGCGTGTGAGGATACAGGTGTGTGAAGCTCTCTGCAGAGGCCAGACGCACAGGTGTGTGAGGATACAGCTGTGTGAGGATACAGTTGTGTGAGGATACAGGTGTGTGAGGATACAGGCGTGTGAGGATACAGGCGTGTGAGGATACAGGTGTGTGAGGATACAGCTGTGTGAGGATACAGGTGTGTGAGGATACAGGCGTGTGAGGATACAGGTGTGTGAGGATACAGCTGTGTGAGGATACAGGTGTGTGAGGATACAGGTGTGTGAGGATACAGGTGTGTGAGGATACAGGTGTGTGAAGCTCTCTGCAGAGGCCAGACGCACAGGTGTGTGAGGATACAGCTGTGTGAGGATACAGGTGTGTGAGGATACAGGTGTGTGAGGATACAGGTGTGTGAGGATACAGGCGTGTGAGGATACAGGTGTGTGAGGATACAGCTGTGTGAGGATACAGGTGTGTGAGGATACAGGTGTGTGAGGATACAGGTGTGTGAGGATACAGGTGTGTGAAGCTCTCTGCAGAGGCCAGACGCACAGGTGTGTGAGGATACAGCTGTGTGAGGATACAGGTGTGTGAGGATACAGGTGTGTGAGGATACAGCTGTGTGAGGATACAGGCGTGTGAGGATACAGGTGTGTGAAGCTCTCTGCAGAGGCCAGACGCACAGGTGTGTGAGGAGACAGCTGTGTGAGGATACAGCTGTGTGAGGATACAGGTGTGTGAGGATACAGGCGTGTGAGGATACAGGTGTGTGAGGATACAGCTGTGTGAGGATACAGGTGTGTGAGGATACAGGTGTGTGAGGATACAGGTGTGTGAGGATACAGGTGTGTGAAGCTCTCTGCAGAGGCCAGACGCACAGCTGTGTGAGGATACAGGTGTGTGAGGATACAGCTGTGTGAGGATACAGCTGTGTGAGGATACAGGCGTGTGAGGATACAGGCGTGTGAGGATACAGGTGTGTGAAGCTCTCTGCAGAGGCCAGACGCACAGGTGTGTGAGGATACAGGTGTGTGAGGATACAGCTGTGTGAGGATACAGGTGTGTGAGGATACAGGCGTGTGAGGATACAGGTGTGTGAGGATACAGGTGTGTGAGGATACAGGTGTGTGAGGATACAGGTGTGTGAGGATACAGCTGTGTGAGGATACAGGTGTGTGAGGATACAGGCGTGTGAGGATACAGGTGTGTGAGGATACAGGCGTGTGAGGATACAGGTGTGTGAGGATACAGGTGTGTGAGGATACAGCTGTGTGAGGATACAGGCGTGTGAGGATACAGGTGTGTGAAGCTCTCTGCAGAGGCCAGACGCACAGGTGTGTGAGGATACAGGTGTGTGAGGATACAGCTGTGTGAGGATACAGGTGTGTGAGGATACAGGCGTGTGAGGATACAGGTGTGTGAGGATACAGCTGTGTGAGGATACAGGTGTGTGAGGATACAGGTGTGTGAGGATACAGGTGTGTGAGGATACAGGTGTGTGAAGCTCTCTGCAGAGGCCAGACGCACAGCTGTGTGAGGATACAGGTGTGTGAGGATACAGCTGTGTGAGGATACAGCTGTGTGAGGATACAGGCGTGTGAGGATACAGGTGTGTGAGGATACAGGTGTGTGAAGCTCTCTGCAGAGGCCAGACGCACAGGTGTGTGAGGAGACAGCTGTGTGAGGATACAGCTGTGTGAGGATACAGGTGTGTGAGGATACAGCTGTGTGAGGATACAGGTGTGTGAGGATACAGGTGTGTGAGGATACAGGCGTGTGAGGATACAGGTGTGTGAGGATACAGGTGTGTGAAGCTCTCTGCAGAGGCCAGACGCACAGGTGTGTGAGGATACAGGCGTGTGAGGATACAGGTGTGTGAGGATACAGCTGTGTGAGGATACAGGTGTGTGAGGATACAGGTGTGTGAAGCTCTCTGCAGAGGCCAGACGCACAGGTGTGGGAGGATACAGGTGTGTGAGGATACAGGTGTGTGAGGATACAGCTGTGTGAGGATACAGCTGTGTGAGGATACAGGTGTGTGAAGCTCTCTGCAGAGGCCAGACGCACAGGTGTGGGAGGATACAGGTGTGTGAGGATACAGCTGTGTGAGGATACAGCTGTGTGAGGATACAGGTGTGTGAGGATACAGCTGTGTGAGGATACAGGTGTGTGAGGATACAGGTGTGTGAGGATACAGGTGTGTGAGGATACAGGTGTGTGAGGATACAGGTGTGTGAGGATACAGGTGTGTGAGGATACAGGTGTGTGAGGATACAGGTGTGTGAGGATACAGGTGTGGGAGGATACAGGTGTGTGAGGATACAGGTGTGTGAGGATACAGCTGTGTGAGGATACAGGTGTGTGAAGCTCTCTGCAGAGGCCAGACGCACAGGTGTGTGAGGATACAGGTGTGTGAGGATACAGCTGTGTGAGGATACAGCTGTGTGAGGATACAGGTGTGTGAGGATACAGCTGTGTGAGGATACAGGTGTGTGAGGATACAGGTGTGTGAGGATACAGGTGTGTGAGGATACAGGTGTGTGAGGATACAGGTGTGTGAGGATACAGGTGTGTGAGGATACAGGTGTGTGAGGATACAGGTGTGGGAGGATACAGGTGTGTGAGGATACAGGTGTGTGAGGATACAGCTGTGTGAGGATACAGCTGTGTGAGGATACAGGTGTGTGAAGCTCTCTGCAGAGGCCAGACGCACAGGTGTGGGAGGATACAGGTGTGTGAGGATACAGGTGTGTGAAGCTCTCGAAGCAAAACCTCTTTTAAAACATCCTTCAAACCAGCGGGTTCGTGAGCTGATGAAAGCTAATCATAAAGTCAATCATAAAAATTTAAATTTTAAATAAATAATTTAAAAATAAAAACAGTTCAAATAAAATGCGTACTAAAAATGAGTTAAATCATAAAAAATTAAATGATAAATAATTCTAAAATAAAAACAAGTTCAAATAAATGTATTTCAATTAAATACGAAAAAGTGTCAAATTAAAATAAAACAATAAAAATTCAATCATAAAATTGTAAATAAATTTTTCTAAAATAAATAGTACTAAAAATGAGTTAAATCATATTTTTTTATGAATAATTCATATGACATTGCAGCTTAACAAATAAAATATTTATTCACTAAAAATATTTATAATTTTTAGTTTTTCAGTGCATTTAGGCTTCTTTGCACTTGTAAGTTTAAACATCACTGAATGTGTTCAAAAACACTGAACGTTCAGTAATATTAATGTACAGTCAAACCAAAAATATAATTTTTTATATAATTTATTATATTTATAATTAGATATAATTATATAATTTTTGATATTTTATATATCAGATATAATTTTTGATATTTTTTAAATGTAATTTTTGATATAATATAATTTATATAAAATGATATAATAATGTATATTATATAGATATAATTTTTTATATTTTTTAAATAGTGTGTGCAGGACACTATAGTTCATTTATGTAAGTGAGGAGAGCAAAATCTGCATTAATGATTCTGTTATTTTCCTGTTCCTGCTTTAAAAACAATCAGTGTGTGTGTGTGTGTGTGTGTGTGTGTGTGTGTACCTTCAGAGCTGCTTTGCTCCTCCTCATCATCTTCTCCTCTCTCAGGTTTGTTTTCTTGCGTTCTGTCTGTTCTCAGATCAGAGGAATGCTGGTTCACTGCGGCGTCTCGTGGCTCTCGTGTCTCTGTCGGAAATAATAATAACTAATCAGTGTATTTCGGCTTCTTTGCCCTTGCTGTAAGTTTAAACATCACTAAATGTGTTTAATAGGAAAATATGTGTACGTTCAGAGCCGCTTTCCTCCTCGTTATCTCCACTCTCGGGTTTGTTTTCTTGCGCTCTGTCTGTTCTCAGATCAGAGGAATCCCCCGGGTGTCTTTGCTCTCGTGTCTCTCGTGTCTCTGTTGCAGAGCTGGGGATGAGAGGTGTTCTGTCCTGATTCTTTGCCTCATCCTCGTCGTCCGAGCTGCTGGCGATGACGTAGGTCTTGTGTTTGTGCGCCGGCGGGTCCATCATGGCGTTCTGGATGGCCTGTAGAGTTCGAGGCGACACACGTCCCTCTTCATCCTCGGATCGGGTTGTTCTGCGTGTCGTGTCTTCTTCCTCAGAGCTGCTGTCCATCATGGCGTTCTGGATGGCCTGAAGAGTGCGAGGAGACGCTGGATGATCTTCCTCCTTAGCACAGGAGGAAGAGGAGGACGGCTGGTTCTTCTTCGCGTCGATCTCGTTCACGGGTCGCCACAAGGGCTCGGGTTTCCCTTTAGGCTTGGCTTCGCGATCCCACGGGGAACTGGACCACAGCGCTGGAGCCGGCCGACTCTCTGGAGCGCTGGCTTTCTTCTGAGACCCTGGACAATACAACAACAGAACAACAGAGGCGTATTTTAGTAGGACACGCAGATTTTTTTAAACAAAATAATTGAAAGACGCATTAAATTGATCAAAAGTGACAGTAAAGACATTTATAATGTTACAATTACAATGTTACAATTCATTTTAATGTCAAATAAATGCTGTTCTTTTGATCTTTCTATTCATCAAAGAATCCAGAAAAATAAACTGTATCACAGTTTCCACAAAAATATGAACCGTTTACTATGGAAGCTCGTTTCCGCCACAGGATAAAAGATAATTGCGACTTTTTATTTCACAAATTGTGACTTTATATCACGGAATTGTGGGATAAAAAGTTGCAATTACCATTTCTATTTTTTATTCTGTGGTTTACAAGATTGCTAATAATCATAATTGATCAAAAGTGACAGTAAAGACATTTATAATGTTACTGTTACAATTCAATTTTAAATTTGATCTTTCTGTTCACCAAACAATTGTGAAAAATAAAATGAATCAATTTCCACAAAAATACGATCTGTTTTCAACACTGATAATAATCATAAATGTGATTATTGAGCATCAGATCCTCATATTAGAGTGATTTCTGAAGGATCATGTGACACTGAAGACTGGAGTAATGATGCTGAACATTCAGCTTTGCTCACAGGAATAAATTATACTTTAGTATTCACGCTGATTGAAATATTTCACTGTTTTTACTGTATTTTATGATCAAATAAATGCAGCTTTGGAACATTAAAATGCCAAACGACTGAAGTTGAAATGGTCTCAAAGCTGAATGTGTCGTTGAATATATGCTAAGTGTGTTGTTTTTGGACCCTGATTTGTTATTGAGAATATGTTTTTGTGTAAACATCATGTCTGTTTGTGAGTGTTGTGTTGACCCCAGGAAGACAGTGGGTTGGCCCAGACCTGTAATGAGGATGTAGTGTGACGCGTCCTCCGACACGAGCCGGCGCGTCTCCACGTGTCGACCGCTGCTCTCGCGCTCCTCAGAGACGCTGTTGCTCGGCGCGTGGTTCATCTCCTTCTGCACTCCCTCCAGACGCTGGTTGAGCTTGTTCCTCTGAAGGAGACCCGCCAGCTGATACTGCGAGAACTCACCGGACCTCTGAGAGACCAGGATATCAGGGGTTAGAGTCAAGCTTTATTTATACAGCGCTTTTTACATGTTTTAAAGCAGCTTTACAGAGAGAATAATGCAACAAAGTTTGTTTCCAGAAGAGAATAGCGTCTCAGTCCAGCTTAAGGAAGTTCAGTGATGCTTAATTTCTGTTGTAATAAAGTTATTAATTTGATTATTTATATATATATATCCACTCTGGAGAAAACCGTGATGTCATCGTCCAGCTCAGTTCAGTTCTCATATAATGCTGTCAATGCAGGAGATCAATAATATTGTTGAATAATAAATATCCTCAACTAAGCAAGCCATGCTAAATTACTTAAAGAGCATCTATTGTGCTTTTCTCCATGTTCATCTGTGTTTAGTGTGTGATGTTGCTGTTTGATCACTCTCTATATGAGTGTCAGTGTTCCTGAACTCCTGAAACGCCTCCATTATAGTCTTGAGTTTCTTCCGGGAACGAACACGTCACAATATTCCTCATTATAATAATTCATACGCAGAATAAAGGGGCGGGGCCTGGTTGAGTTAGTTAGTAGTGTGTTAAACTGGTGGTTATGGAAAGGGGCGGGACATTTCCCAAACACACTCGAAGCGCTCGACCAATCACAACACACTTCTCCAGCCGACCTATCAGAGCACAGTGTGCTTTTCAGAAGGAGGGGCTTCATAGAGACAGGAAGTAAACAGAGCGTTACTGACAGACTGGGAAGAGAGGAGCCGCAACAATGGAGAATATGAGGAGAATAATCAACATTCAAGCAGGAAAACCTGTTATTACATTGTTTGCATTAATACATTTTTAGCTAGCTGTGATTTATATATGTACATTTCTGAAATGCATAACTTAGACAGTTTCCTCTAATTGTATGTGCAATCTGTAATGTGCACTCATGCACTTTCTGTAAAGCTGCTTTGAAACGATGTGTGTTGTGAAAAGCGCTATACAAATAAATGTGAACTGAATAGTAGAGCCCAAAAAACAACATCCAGACTTTCTAAAAGGACACAATATGGGCGCTACATCTTCCATCATTCTGCTTCTCCAGTAAATCTATCGTGATATAGGGACGTTTAGATATTCGTGCTGGAAAACACGACAGAAACACTGGGGAAGAGTGTGTGACTGGCATCACCTCTGGTGGTTTGTGGTACAGTGTGCGTCGCCTCTTGTTGAATTCCTTCATTTCTTTCAAGATTTCGTGTTTGATCTCCGGCGGCATGAGGGAAAACTCCTCAGAGTTGATGTCCACAGAGTTAGGATTGTGATAGATCTCTTCCTGAACAACACACACAAACACACAAAGCGGGTTATACTATACGCTATCGTGGCAAAATCTAAACTTTAGTATCGGCCAGCTCTAATCTGCTTAATAATAATACTAATACTTTTTATTTATATTGCGCTTTTCTCAAACCCAAAGCGCTAATGATAACAAAGACATCAAAGACATCAAAACTATAAGAAAGGAAAAAACAGGGACAATAAACAGCTTTAAAAGGGACTCTTTAAATGCGACTATAAGATATTATAAACATTAACATCTGTAAAGCTGCTATGAAACTATGTGTACTTTGAATATGAATATAAGATGTGATTCCTCTCACCTGAAGTCTGCTGTAGGTCTGCAGAGATTCGTCTCCATCTCGCTCCTCCTCTGAACTACAGCAAATTAATAGAGTTCAAGGTCAAAGGTCAAGGTTTATTTATATAGCACCTTTTAACAACACGAATGTTGACCAAAGTGCTTCACAAGTAAATCAAAAATACACACAGTAAAACATAACATCAAAAATTCAAACCTGAAAAATAAAAAAATAAAAAACAGGGTTGGGTTTCATTTACATTTAAAGGATTCTGCTCATCGATTCCTAATTTTGATTCCATTAAGGTAAAAAAAAACAAAAAAACTTAGATATCATTTTTATTCAGTCTTATTGCAAAACTTTTAATTGTAGCTGAATATCATAAACAGACATCTACAGGCTAGAGAACACTTTGTAAAGCATTATTAAAGACAATAAACACTCAGTAATTAAAAAAGAACAAATAAAAAATTAGCGATCGCAACTGAACAAAGACACGATTGAAATAAACAGTGTTTTGAGATTTTCAGGTATTCGGGTTCAGAAACTGTAATCAAATGTAAAATAACACTGTACTTTATAAATAAAATATACATTACAAATAAACTTAGTTATTCAGTGAAGAACGAGTGAATCTTCTCAGTGTTGTGTGATTAGTGTTATTATAGAGACGGCAGCAGGAATATCAGCGCTGTCACTTTAAGAGCTGCTCTATAGTTACTCACGCCTGCACTGAACACAGAGTCTCACGCTTGAAAACTCATATTGAAATGCTCACAAAGGAATCGACAAGAGGAATCGAAATTTTAATTTTATAACAAGTATCCGATTCCTGGCCTCAAGTAATCGCTTCCCAACCCTAAGATGAAGACGCTTTCCTTCATCATCATCATCATGAGTGTCTCCTCGATCACCTGCTCTCGTCTCGGTCCTCATCAGGAGGAAGCGCGGGAAGAACGTACATGTCATCCGGACCATCGCGCCTCACAGTCGACAGGCTGGGCACCGACTCTTCACTGCGGGAAACAAGAAAAAGAGCATGTTTTCTTTGAAAAAGCTGTGAATTAAAGGGATAGTTCACCCAAACATGAAAATTAGTCCATGATTTACTCGCCCTCAAGCCATCCGAGGTGTATATGACACTCTTCTTTCAGACGAATACAATCAAGAGTTATATTAAAAATGTTTTGGTTCTTTCAATCTTTATTATGGCAGTGAATGGCCGTTTCTGTTTTGAAGTCCATAAAAGTGCATCTTTTATGATGGAGAGATGCACTTTTATCATGGATAGATGCACTTTTATCATGGATAGATGCACTTTTATGATGGATAGATGCACTTTTATCATGGATAGATGCACTTTTATGATGGATAGATGCACTTTTATGATGGACAGATGCACTTTTATGATGGATAGACGCACTTTTATGATGGATAGACGCACTTTTATCATGGATAGATGCACTTTTATCATGGATAGATGCACTTTTATCGTGGATAGATGCACTTTTATCATGGATAGATGCACTTTTATCATGATAGATGCACTTTTATCATGGATAGATGCACTTTTATGATGGATAGATGCACTTTTATCATGGATAGATGCACTTTTATGATGGATAGATGCACTTTTATCATGGATAGATGCATTTTTATGATGGATAGATGCACTTTTATCATGGATAGATGCACTTTTATGACGGATAGATACACTTTTATGACGGATAGAGGCACTTTTATCATGGATAGATGCACTTTTATCATGGATAGGTGCACTTTTATGATGGATAGATGCACTTTTATCATGGATAGATGCACTTTTATCATGGATAGATGCACTTTTATCATGGATAGATGCACTTTTATCATGGATAGATGCACTTTTATGATGGATAGATGCAATTTTATCATGGATAGATGCACTTTTATCATGGATAGATGCACTTTTATGATGGATAGATGCACTTTTATCATGGATAGATGCACTTTTATGATGGATAGATGCACTTTTATCATGGATAGATGCACTTTTATCATGGATAGATGCACTTTTATGATGGATAGATGCACTTTTATGACGGATAGATGCACTTTTATGACGGATAGAGGCACTTTTATCATGGATAGATGCACTTTTATCATGGATAGGTGCACTTTTATGATGGATAGATGCACTTTTATCATGGATAGATGCACTTTTATGATGGATAGATGCACTTTTATCATGGATAGATGCACTTTTATCATGGATAGATGCACTTTTATCATGGATAGATGCATTTTTATGATGGATAGATGCACTTTTATGACGGATAGATGCACTTTTATGATGGATAGATGCACTTTTATCATGGATAGATGCACTTTTATGATGGATAGATGCACTTTTATGACGGATAGATGCACTTTTATGATGGATAGATGCACTTTTATGATGGATAGATGCACTTTTATCATGGATAGATGCACTTTTATGACGGATAGATGCACTTTTATCATGGATAGATGCACTTTTATCATGGATAGATGCACTTTTATGATGGATAGATGCACTTTTATGACGGATAGATGCACTTTTATGACGGATAGATGCACTTTTATGATGGATAGATGCACTTTTATCATGGATAGATGCACTTTTATGATGGATAGATGCACTTTTATGACGGATAGATGCACTTTTATGATGGATAGATGCACTTTTATCATGGATAGATGCACTTTTATCATGGATAGATGCATTTTTATGATGGATAGATGCACTTTTATGACGGATAGATGCACTTTTATGATGGATAGATGCACTTTTATCATGGATAGATGCACTTTTATGATGGATAGATGCACTTTTATGACGGATAGATGCACTTTTATGATGGATAGATGCACTTTTATGATGGATAGATGCACTTTTATCATGGATAGATGCACTTTTATGACGGATAGATGCACTTTTATCATGGATAGATGCACTTTTATCATGGATAGATGCACTTTTATGATGGATAGATGCATTTTTATGACGGATAGATGCACTTTTATGACGGATAGATGCACTTTTATGATGGATAGATGCACTTTTATCATGGATAGATGCACTTTTATGATGGATAGATGCACTTTTATGACGGATAGATGCACTTTTATGATGGATAGATGCACTTTTATGATGGATAGATGCACTTTTATCATGGATAGATGCACTTTTATGACGGATAGATGCACTTTTATCATGGATAGATGCACTTTTATCATGGATAGATGCACTTTTATGATGGATAGATGCACTTTTATCATGGATAGATGCACTTTTATCATGGATAGGTGCACTTTTATGATGGATAGATGCACTTTTATCATGGATAGATGCACTTTTATGATGGATAGATGCACTTTTATCATGGATAGATGCACTTTTATGATGGATAGATGCAATTTTATCATGGATAGATGCACTTTTATCATGGATAGATGCACTTTTATGATGGATAGATGCACTTTTATCATGGATAGATGCACTTTTATGATGGATAGATGCACTTTTATCATGGATAGATGCACTTTTATCATGGATAGGTGCACTTTTATGATGGATAGATGCACTTTTATCATGGATAGATGCACTTTTATGATGGATAGATGCACTTTTATGACGGATAGATGCACTTTTATGACGGATAGATGCACTTTTATCATGGATAGATGCACTTTTATCATGGATAGATGCACTTTTATCATGGATAGATGCACTTTTATCATGGATAGATGCACTTTTATCATGGATAGATGCACTTTTATCATGGATAGATGCACTTTTATCATGGATAGATGCACTTTTATCATGGATAGATGCACTTTTATCATGGATAGATGCACTTTTATGATGGATAGATGCACTTTTATCATGGATAGATGCACTTTTATCATGGATAGATGCACTTTTATCATGGATAGATGCACTTTTATCATGGATAGATGCACTTTTATGATGGATAGATGCACTTTTATCATGGATAGATGCACTTTTATGATGGATAGATGCACTTTTATCATGGATAGATGCACTTTTATCATGGATAGATGCACTTTTATCATGGATAGATGCACTTTTATGATGGATAGATGCACTTTTATCATGGATAGATGCACTTTTATCATGGATAGATGCACTTTTATGATGGATAGATGCACTTTTATGATGGATAGATGCACTTTTATGATGGATAGATGCACTTTTATCATGGATAGATGCACTTTTATCATGGATAGATGCACTTTTATCATGGATAGATGCACTTTTATCATGGATAGATGCACTTTTATCATGGATAGATGCACTTTTATGATGGATAGATGCACTTTTATGACGGATAGATGCACTTTTATCATGGATAGATGCACTTTTATCATGGATAGATGCACTTTTATGACGGATAGATGCACTTTTATCATGGATAGATGCACTTTTATCATGGATAGATGCACTTTTATGATGGATAGATGCACTTTTATCATGGATAGATGCACTTTTATGATGAATAGATGCACTTTTATGATAGATAGATGCACTTTTATCATGGATAGATGCACTTTTATGATGGATAGATTAACTTTTATGATGGATAGATGCACTTTTATGATGGATAGACGCACTTTTATGATGGATAGATGCACTTTTATGGACTTCAAAACAGAAACGGCCATTCACTGCCATTATAAAGCTTGGAATAGCCAGGACATTTTTTAATATAACTCTGATTGTATTCATCTGAAGAAGAATGTCATACACACCTAGGACGACTTGAGGGCAAGTAAATCATGGGCTAAATTTAATTTTCGGGTGAACTATCGCTTTAAGGCTCGTACCTTCGATCCCCTAGAGCTGCTTTGATGGCCTGTCTCTTCAGGAACGTCTGAAGGAGTTTTTCGTTGGTCTGTCTGGACTCGCGGCTCATTTCTTCCCTCCGTTGTCTCCGGATCGCCTGAACATGTTCAGAATGTCATTATTCCTACCGTCATCCTTCCCTCGGGTCGTTTTGACCCGGAAATAACTTCAGTTATTAACACTCCGATGAGTGTTCATCGGAGGGGTCCAAGACCCCAGGACTTTTGTCGCACTTGAAGCAAGAATACACAGAAAAAATGTAATGGATTCGAAGAGTTTTGTGGTTTAAATTAAAAAAAGTTACACCCTTCCCTCTCGGGTCAATCTGACCCCCATAGGAATGAATGGAATGCGAGGAATGCTTCAGTACACATAGACAAACCTAAAAATGCTCAAAATTCAAACTATAAATGCAAAAACGTTACCAATAAAGACTGTATAATGTGTACATGTGTGTGTGAGCGCACACTGAAGAGAAACTGGCTTTAGGACCCAGCGGAACAGCTCCTCTGCTCCATATAGAGCTATAAGCCCATCTAGAGGCATGAAATATCATGTGTTATTATTATATTCCACAAGAGGTCAAACACTCCCAGTGTAAGATATTTAGAGCTGAATTAAAAGGGTTATGCATGAAATTGTGAGTTATTTTGAATTCAAGTTGAAAGAATGTGAAGAATGTGCTTAAATTACTATTTATTTATTATTTATTGATCAAATCTAGTAATTTAAAGGCAAATAAAATAAAAAATAACAAAATAAAATTTATTAAAAAATAGAAAAAATCTTGAAATAAAATAAGCTTCTGGACAAAAAAAAAAGAATTAAGTATAATTTTAGGGCTTCGGGTCATTTTGAGCCGCGAGGGAAAGATGTGTTACAAAGCGCGAGGAAAAGCATCTCGACGTTCATGATGTAAAGCTCACCAGCGTCTGTTTCTTGAGCAGCGGCGCGTCTCCATCGTACACGAACACGGGTCTGATGCGGAAGAATAGCAGCTTGCAGAGCCGATGGAAGAGCGTGAGGAGATGAGCGTTGAGAACCGCATTCCCGTCTCGATCCCGCACGCCTTTCACCGCCTGATTCAGCCAGATACTGATGTCTGTCACGCGAGAGTCATGGATCCAAGCGGACTAATCATCCCGAGCTTTCATTAAAGTCAGCATTGCATTACAGTAATGGGGATTTGGGGGAATGTATGTATTATATACATACTTATATTATATGTAAGCCATATTTCTAACATGCAGTCAAACGTGACACTCAACAAACCTAGTCAGTTCAGATATTTCATGTGTTCTAGCTCAAGCACACCTGGTGCAGCTAATGAGGCCCTTGATGTATGGGAATGTATGTGTGTGTGTGTATATATATATACAGTTGTAAGCTAAATTATTATTATTGGCAACATGTACAGACTTTCAGCTGTTTGCAATTAAAACTCAAACAAAAGTAACTGAAATAGCTCAACACAACCATGTTTCAAGTGGTTTCCACAATTGGAAATGCTACTTTTAATGACTCCTGCAGTAAAGGATACCGACAGCCAAGATCTTCCCCTCCAGTGTTTCCGGATTGATGGGTTTTCCGGTGCTTTCCAAGAGCTTCCACAGTCCATGAACTCCCATCACACCTGACAACAGCAGCAAAACATCATCATCATCCTCATTATTGTCATCCTCATCATCATCACCCTCATCATCCTCATCGTCCTCATCATCATCATCTTTCACAAAGTGAAGCAGAAAAGCCATGCTTGTTGCATAAGAAAACATGCTTTGGCAAATTATAATTCTCCTGAATTAATCAGGTTTGATCAGATCAAGAAAATACAATTATGACATCAATTTAAATTATGAGGAAAACGTTTTAGATTCAAAATTATTAGATTAAAAGGAAATCATTTTGAGAGAAAAAAATTAAATTACGAGATTAAAAAGTCATAATTGTGAGATAAAGTCAAAAAACATAGTAAGTTTCGACTTTTTAATGTCATAATTAAATGACCTAGTACACAATCATTTTTACCTCAACATTTTTATCTCATAATCATGACTTCGTATGATTAATTATGATTTATTTTTTCAGAATTTGGACTTTTTACTCAAACGCTCCTGCAGGAGAAATATACAAAAAGAAGAAGATAGTGATAATAAATCTATTATTTGTGATTAAAATGAATCGTTATTTCAAAATACTACTTAATGCGTTTTTCTGTTTCTAATGGACTCGCTTATCATTCACAGGCTAAAGAACAAATGTTTAAATTATGATATTTTATAAAAATCACACACAGACCTGCTCACAGCTTCACAATCATAACATCCGTTCCCGGTCGAGTCGCCGGAAACACGTACTGAGCACTTCCGTTCGGCCTCGATCAGCTGCTTCCGGTTGTAACATGGATCTGGTTTAAACACGACTCTGTGAGGTACGTGGCAAGATTGATTATGAATTATGAAACATAAATAACGATCACTTACTACGGTCATTAACGAATTCGTGATTTATGAGATTCGCGCATTTACATGACGTCATCGGTTCAGTAGTCTCGAAGCGACGGCTAGCTGTCTCGCGAACTAGCCAAACAAACAAACAGAGATAAACCTTTTACAGTCTGTGAGATAAACTCGCCGCGAAGCTCGAGACTGTGTTTATTATCAGCACGTGTTCATGTTTTGGGGAAACTGATTGACTTCGCTGGTAAGTTTGCTAGTTGTGTAGAGTTGATTAATGTAAACATCTTTCATCGATAATGTAATAATGCTGAATTAATCCGGTTTGATCAGATCAAGACAGTAAACCGGCTTTACTCGATTAATTTCGACTAACTGATGCTTGTTCGATTCTTCTGGTCTGATTTGTTACAGTCACATCTAGATTTAAACACACAAAGGCTGAGTTACACCAGTGAACAATAACATCCTCAATGTGTTCATGTTTTTGCATCCTAGAATCTATTTAATTAATATACATTTTTATGTATTAGGTTTAATCAAAAATGAATATTTCTATAAATTTTCAAAATGTTTTTAGCATTATATTTTAATAATTTTCAACACAATCATGTTAAGTTGGATTGTATAGCATTTTAATTAAGTATTAATTTTAAATATTACTATGTTTTTTTTGTTGTTGTATTTATTAAGATGCTATTTTTCTGTCTAGTAGTCATGTAGACTTGCATCATAAGATATCCATAAAAAATATAATTTTTTGTTTCAAATAAAAATAAATTTGTTAATTAAAATATTATTTGATGTTATATTATAAATATAAAAATAAAGTCTGTTTATTATACTGTTTATTTTTGTCATCTGGACTTGCATCATAAAATGTGAATAAAGTAAGTTTTTGTTTAAAATTTGAAGAAGAAAAAAAATTGTATTAAGATTTCAATTAATTTAAAATTAAAGTAATTTAAAAAACATTTGTTTAAATGTTTGTAACGTTTCTGTGCAGGAGTCATCTAGAATATTGCAACATACCATTTTAATGAAAAAATATAATATTTGAATAAGATGTGCATATGTTTTCAGGCAGATCTCGTGAAGGACAGTCATGTCTGCGTCAGTGATCATCAAAGGTGAGTTTACTGTGTGTGAGTGAATTATTGAGTAAGTGTGTGATAACAATGTTTCAGGAAGGCTTTTGGTGATTTTACTTCATTAAAAAAAAGCATAGATACATATTTTTGGCTTTAATATTTGTATTGTGTGTCAATGGTTTTATAAAAGCAATAAGACTTATGATGACGTAAAGTGACTTATTCACAATACAGCACTAGCCTCTCGTACCTTATTGCTTACATGTAACATCCGCCGAGCCTCACACACACACACACACACACACCAAACCCTGGTGATAATGTAACATCCGCCGAGCCTCACACACACACACGCCAAACCCTGGTGATAATGTAACATCAGCCGAGCCTCACACACACACACACACACACACACACACACACCAAACCCTGGTGATAATGTAACATCAGCCGAGCCTCACACACACACACACCAAACCCTGGTGATAATGTAACATCAGCCGAGCCTCACACACACACACACACACCAAACCCTGGTGATAATGTAACATCAGCCGAGCCTCACACACACACACACACACACACACACACACACACACACACACACACACACACCAAACCCTGGTGATAATGTAACATCAGCCGAGCCTCACACACACACACACACACACACCAAACCCTGGTGATAATGTAACATCAGCCGAGCCTCACACACACACACACCAAACCCTGGTGATAATGTAACATCAGCCGAGCCACACACACACACACACACACACACACACACCAAACCCTGGTGATAATGTAACATCAGCCGAGCCTCACACACACACACACACACCAAACCCTGGTGATAATGTAACATCAGCCGAGCCTCACACACACACACACCAAACCCTGGTGATAATGTAACATCAGCCGAGCCTCACACACACACACACACACCAAACCCTGGTGATAATGTAACATCAGCCGAGCCACACACACACACACACACACACACACACACACACACACACACACACACACACACACACACACACACACACACACACCAAACCCTGGTGATAATGTAACATCAGCCGAGCCTCACACACACACACACACACCAAACCCTGGTGATAATGTAACATCAGCCGAGCCTCACACACACACACACCAAACCCTGGTGATAATGTAACATCAGCCGAGCCTCACACACACACACACACACCAAACCCTGGTGATAATGTAACATCAGCCGAGCCACACACACACACACACACACACACACACACACACACACACACACACACACACACCAAACCCTGGTGATAATGTAACATCAGCCGAGCCTCACACACACACACACACACACACACCAAACCCTGGTGATAATGTAACATCAGCCGAGCCTCACACACACACACACCAAACCCTGGTGATAATGTAACATCAGCCGAGCCACACACACACACACACACACACACACACACACACACACACACACCAAACCCTGGTGATAATGTAACATCAGCCGAGCCTCACACACACACACACACACACACACACACACACACCAAACCCTGGTGATAATGTAACATCAGCCGAGCCTCACACACACACACACACACACACACACACACACACACACACACACCAAACCCTGGTGATAATGTAACATCAGCCGAGCCTCACACACACACACACACACACACACACCAAACCCTGGTGATAATGTAACATCAGCCGAGCCTCACACACACACACACACCAAACCCTGGTGATAATGTAACATCAGCCGAGCCTCACACACACACACACACACACACACACACACACACCAAACCCTGGTGATAATGTAACATCAGCCGAGCCTCACACACACACACACACACACACACACCAAACCCTGGTGATAATGTAACATCAGCCGAGCCACACACACACACACACACACACACACCAAACCCTGGTGAAAATGTAACATCAGCCGAGCCTCACACACACACACACACCAAACCCTGGTGATAATGTAACATCAGCCGAGCCTCACACACACACACACACACCAAACCCTGGTGATAATGTAACATCAGCCGAGCCTCACACACACACACACACACACCAAACCCTGGTGATAATGTAACATCAGCCGAGCCACACACACACACACACACACACACCAAACCCTGGTGATAATGTAACATCAGCCGAGCCTCACACACACACACACACACCAAACCCTGGTGATAATGTAACATCAGCCGAGCCTCACACACACACACACACACCAAACCCTGGTGATAATGTAACATCAGCCGAGCCTCACACACACACACACCAAACCCTGGTGATAATGTAACATCAGCCGAGCCTCACACACACACACACACACACACATATTTTATTGGATTGTCCTGGGTATAATATATATAATATAAAGTAGAATGCTCTTCTATGAAGTTATTATTTCACTTGAGGACTTATTTAGTAAGATTATGCCTGAAAAGGTTTTGGATTTTTTTTATCATATGTTAATAAAAAATAAAAAAGGTATAATATGACTTGTTGTTTGTTTGCTTGGTTTTATTGTATTTATATGATCTTTGTGTTTTTGTAATTAAATTTTTGCCATTTAAATACCCTGAGATGCTGACATGGCATTAAATAAAACCAATGAATCTCATACGCATGATGTCTCAGATGTGTGTGTGCGCGGCCCCGGCGACGGCATGGAGATGCACAGGCCCCCGGAGGCCCCGCTCCCGAAGCTGGCGTCCCCGAAGCCCAGTCCCAGATCTCCGGCGCCTCCGGGGGTCCTGCACCTGGGCAAGGTGAGCCGGGACGTGTGTGTGGAGCTGGAGTGTGTGAGGATCGTGGTCCCCCGGGCCGCCATCAGCCGCTGCGCTCGAGCCGGGCCCTACGCTGAGGACCGCGGGTCCCCTCATCATCACGGGGACGAGCCGGAGCCGGAGCCGCTGGACTACAGGATCCTCCTGGAGAAGCTGCAGAACTCGGAGCGCCGGCTCCTGCAGGATAAAGAGGGTCTCTCCAACCAGCTGCGGGTCCAGACCGAGGTCAAGCTCGCCGAATATCACTGCTGGATATTTGGTTTCAGATTTTACTTTTAATTATCTTTTGTATAATTACATATTTTTGTTTATGTCATTTTAATTTTTTAATATAATGTATATTTTTTTGTTTTTAGCATTACATTAATTATTTTAACAATTAAATAATTGGTGTTTAATTTAATTAATTTTTAATTATCTTTTATATATTTAAATATTTTTGTTTTTAGCATTTACATTTTTTTAATTTCTAATATAATTTTTTTTCTTTTTAGCATTTTATTTTCATTATTTAAAAAATAAATAATTGGTGTTTAATCAGGTTTTAATGAATTTTTATGTAATTCAATATTTTGTTTTTAGCATTTACATTTTTTAAAATTTTTTAATTAACTTTGTATTTAGCATTATTTTATTATAATTTCAAAATTTGTGTTTAATTTAATTGTTATAATTATCTTTAATATAAGTGAATAATATTGAGTTTTTTTTACATTTTAGTTTTAATTATCTTTATATAATTAAATATTTTTGGTTTTAGCATTACATTTCAATTATTTTAACAATTAAATAATTGCTCTATAATTTAATTAATTTAAAATTATCTATATAATAGTTAAATAATATTTTGTTATTTTATTTTTAATTATCATTTATATAATTAAATATTTTTGTTTTTACCATTTTAATTATTAATATATATACATATTTTTTGTTTTTAGCATTATATTTCAATTATTTTAACAATTAAATAATTGCTGTTTAATATTAATTTATAATTATCTTTATTATAATTAAATAATATTTGGTTTCACATTTTAGTTTTAATTATCTTTTAAATAATTAAATTTGTTTTTAGCATTTTAAATTTTTCAATATAGTTTTTAGTTTTAATTATTTTTAATATATCTTTTGTTTTTAGCATTATATTTAGTTATTCTATCACAAATAAATAATTGGTGTTTTTTAGTATTTTAATTGTTTTTAGCATTTAGCAAATTTAATAAAGTTTTAAATATTTTAAATGTAATTTAAAAATTAGCATTTATTTAGCATTATTTTTAATGTAATTTTTTTGTTGTTGAGCATTTTATTGAAGCTTAATATAGTTTTATAGCCTTTGTGTTGTAGCTTTTATATAGTATATTATATTTTAGTTTGCTTCAGTGATCCTGTGTGACATGAACTACACTAATGTTGAGAAGTTTTCAAAATATTGCACAGAAAGAGTCTCTTCTGCTCAGAAAAGCTGCGTTTATTTGATCAAAAATACAGTAAAAACAGTGAAATATTATTCCAGTGTAAATCATGTGAATATATAGTAACGTGTAGTTAACATGCTGTGATCAGAGCTGAGTTTCTCGTGCGCGTGTCCTCAGGTGAACCGAGAGCTGAAGAAGCTGCTGGTGGCGTCGGTGGGCGATGACCTTCAGTATCACTTTGAGCGACTCTCGCGGGAGAAGAACCACTTGATCCTGGAGAACGAGGCGCTGGGACGAAGCCACACACACACGGCCGAGCAGCTCGAGCGCATGAGCATTCAGTGCGACGTCTGGAGGAGCAAGTTCCTCGCTAGCCGGTGAGAAACGGCATGATGCTAACTAGGCTTGCTACGATAGTCAGTGTTAGCGGTGTTCAGAAGCAACACCTTCAGGTTACATCACTTGCCCACCGTGGATTAAAACATTTTTTATTTATTTATATAAAATAATTTAGTTCAGGTAGAGAACAGACAATAAAATTAAAAACTAAACGGTGTCTGCTTAATAAATCGTGAGCCGAACGAGGGTCGCAGCACAGATCAGCAACAGGAGTGTGTGTGTGTGTTCCTGTAGTGTGATGGCAGAGGAACTGACCAATGCCAGAGCAGCTCTTCAGCGCCAGACCAGAGACGCTCAGTGTGCCATTCAGGATCTGCTGCGAGAACGAGACGAGTTCTCCAGAGACATGCTGCATACACACAGGTACACCTTCACTCAGGCTGTTATTGCCAGTGACAGTGATTGACAGGTCGCTGGAGCAGCTGAATGATTGACAATGAGTGTGATTGACAGTGAGTGTGATTGACAGTGAGTGTGATTGACAGTGAGTGTGATTGACAGTGTGAGTGTGATTGACAGTGTGAGTGTGATTGACAGTGAGTGTGATTGACAGTGAGTGTGATTGACAGTGTGAGTGTGATTGACAGTGTGAGTGTGATTGACAGTGTGAGTGTGATTGACAGTGTGAGTGTGATTGACAGTGTGAGTGTGAGTGTGATTGACAGTGTGAGTGTGATTGACAGTGTGAGTGTGATTGACAGTGTGAGTGTGATTGACAGTGTGAGTGTGAGTGTGATTGACAGTGTGAGTGTGAGTGTGATTGACAGTGTGAGTGTGATTGACAGTGTGAGTGTGATTGACAGTGTGAGTGTGAGTGTGATTGACAGTGTGAGTGTGATTGACAGTGTGAGTGTGATTGACAGTGTGAGTGTGATTGACAGTGTGATTGACATTGACAGTGTGAGTGTGATTGACAGTGTGAGTGTGATTGACAGTGTGAGTGTGATTGACAGTGTGAGTGTGATTGACAGTGTGAGTGTGAGTGTGATTGACAGTGTGAGTGTGATTGACAGTGTGAGTGTGATTGACAGTGTGAGTGTGATTGACAGTGTGAGTGTGATTGACAGTGTGAGTGTGATTGACAGTGTGAGTGTGATTGACAGTGTGAGTGTGAGTGTGATTGACAGTGTGAGTGTGATTGACAGTGTGATTGACTGACGAGTGAGTGTGATTGACTGACGAGTGAGTGTGATTGACAGTGAGTGACTGACAATGAGTGAGTGTGATTGACAGTGAGTGAGTGTGATTGACAGTGAGTGACTGACAATTAGTGAGTGTGATTGACAGTGTGAGTGAGTGAGTGAGTGAGTGAGTGAGTGAGTGAGTGAGTGACAGTGTGAGTGACTGTGATTGACAGTGAGTGAGTGTGATTGACAGTGAGAGAGTGTGATTGACAGTGAGTGAGTGACGGTGTGAGTGTGATTGACGGTGCTAGTGTGATTGACGGTGTGAGTGAGTGATTGACGGTGTGAGTGAGTGATTGACGGTGTGAGTGTGATTGACGGTGTGAGTGTGATTGACGGTGTGAGTGTGATTGACGGTGTGAGTGTGATTGACGGTGTGAGTGTGATTGACGGTGTGAGTGTGATTGACGGTGTGAGTGTGATTGACGGTGTGAGTGTGATTGACGGTGTGAGTGAGTGTGATTGACAGTGCGAGTGTGATTGACAGTGCGAGTGTGATTGACAGTGTGAGAGTGTGATTGACAGTGTGAGAGTGTGATTGACAGTGTGAGAGTGTGATTGACAGTGAGTGAGTGTGATTGACAGTGAGTGAGTGTGATTGACAGTGAGTGAGTGTGATTGACAGTGAGTGAGTGTGATTGACAGTGAGTGAGTGTGATTGACAGTGAGTGAGTGTGATTGACAGCGAGTGAGTGTGATTGACAGCGAGTGAGTGTGTTGACAGCGAGTGAGTGTGTTGACAGCGAGTGAGTGTGTTGACAGCGAGTGAGTGTGATTGACAGCGAGTGAGTGTGATTGGCAGCGAGTGTGATTGACAGCGAGTGAGTGTGATTGACAGCGAGTGAGTGTGATTGACAGCGAGTGAGTGTGATTGACAGCGAGTGAGTGTGATTGACAGCGAGTGAGTGTGTTGACAGCGAGTGAGTGTGTTGACAGCGAGTGAGTGTGTTGACAGCGAGCGAGTGTGATTGACAGCGAGCGAGTGTGATTGGCAGCGAGTGTGATTGACAGCGAGTGAGTGTGATTGACAGCGAGTGAGTGTGTTGACAGCGAGTGAGTGTGATTGACAGCGAGTGAGTGTGATTGACAGCGAGTGAGTGTGTTGACAGCGAGTGAGTGTGTTGACAGCGAGTGAGTGTGTTGACAGCGAGTGAGTGTGTTGACAGCGATTGAGTGTGTTGACAGCGAGTGAGTGTGATTGACAGCGAGAGAGTGTGATTGGCAGCGAGTGTGATTGACAGCGAGTGAGTGTGATTGACAGCGAGTGAGTGTGATTGACAGCGAGTGAGTGTGATTGACAGCGAGTGAGTGTGATTGACAGCGAGTGAGTGTGTTGACAGCGAGTGAGTGTGATTGACAGCGAGAGAGTGTGATTGACAGCGAGTGAGTGTGATTGACACCGAGTGAGTGTGATTGACAGCGAGTGAGTGTGATTGACACCGAGTGAGTGTGATTGACAGCGAGTGAGTGTGATTGACAGCGAGTGAGTGTGTTTGACAGCGAGTGAGTGTGTTGACAGCGAGTGAGTGTGATTGACAGCGAGTGAGTGTGATTGACAGCGAGAGAGTGTGATTGACAGCGAGAGTGTGATTGACAGCGAGTGAGTGTGTTGACAGCGAGTGAGTGTGATTGACAGCGAGTGAGTGTGTTGACAGCGAGTGAGTGTGATTGACAGCGAGAGAGTGTGATTGACAGCGAGAGAGTGTGATTGACAGTGAGAGTGTGATTGACAGCGAGCGAGTGTGATTGACAGCGAGCGAGTGTGATTGACAGCGAGCGAGTGTGATTGACAGCGTGAGAGTGTGATTGACAGCGAGCGAGTGTGATTGACAGCGAGCGAGTGTGATTGACAGTGTGAGAGTGTGATTGACAGCGAGCGAGTGTGATTGACAGCGAGCGAGTGTGATTGACAGTGCGAGTGTGATTGACAGTGTGAGTGTGATTGACAGGTCTCTGGAGCAGTTGCTGGTGTCACTACAGTGGGGTCGACAGCAAACCTACTATCCCAGCGCGCAGCCGCTCAGCACCGGAGAACTGGCCTCAGCCAATCACAAGCTTGCGGACGCCATTAACTCCCACCTGCTGGGGAACATGGGCGGCAGCGGCGGCCCGAAGAAGAGCCGGAACCAGAACCAGAACCAGAACCAGTGCCAGACCTCAGAGCTCTGCAACACGCCGGCCGAGAAGATGGCCGAGAAGGTACGGTGCTTTCTCACATAATAGCAGATTGCAGAAGCTTCTGGTTGTTGGTTTAAACGTTTTCCTCATTGATTGTTGTCCAGGTGCTGCGGAGTCTCGACCCCATTTCCTGTTCTGAACAGGAAGTGGACGCATCACCGACTGACCCGCATCATTCCCACTTCCTGCCCAGCAAGAAGAGCATTGGCCGCTTCCACCCGTACACGCGCTACGAGAACATCACCTTCAACTGCTGCGAGCGCTGCCGCGGGGAGCTAACCGTGCTTTAGCCGTCAGACGCTAGCACTAATGCTAGTGCTTCAGGTGCCGAAGACAAACCCCTTGATCACACACACAACATCAGATTGACCTCGGACTTGACGCAAGCTCACTGTGCTGTAGACGTCAGATGCTAGCGCTAGCCAAGGACAAACCCCTCGATCTCACACACACAACATCAGATTGACCTCTGACCTGACGCAAGCTCACTGTGCTGTAGCCGTCAGATGCTAGCGCTAGCCAAAGACAAACCCCTCGATCTCACACACACAACATCAGATTGACCTCTGACCTGACGCAAGCTCACTGTGCTGTAGCCGTCAGATGCTAGCGCTAGCCAAAGACAAACCCCTCGATCTCACACACACACAACATCAGATTGACCTCGGACTTGACGCAAGCTCACTGTGCTGTAGCCGTCAGACGCTAGTGCTAATGCTAGCGCTTCAGGTGCCAAAGACAAACCCCTCGAACCCACAACATGTGTGAGGTCAGAGATGGAGCTGTCGAGGTTTATTCGGCCTCATGTTCTTTCACTCCTGTATGATGGTATTTCTTCACTCAGAAGATGTTTAGCAGAACGCAGTGAAAGTGAACACACACACACACACACACACTGAAGATGTGGCTGCTGATTTTAAAATATAAAAAGTGCAAGATTTTGTGTGTTTTCATGTCTTTAGTTTGAGGTGTGTTTGTGTAATGCAGTGTTTCTGGAATATAATGCGTGACATGGTTTCATACTTCATCAATATGGATCCAGATACTCGTGTTTTCCTGGACCAAAGTGAATAAAATCTTTGTTTTTAATAAAGCATTTTAGTGATATTTTCTCTATCATCTTTATCAAAATAAATCATTTGGAATGAAACTTGTTTCTTTTATCATACGAGTAAAAACTCTTATTTTTAAAGCAATGATTCTTTGATATGAAAGCAGAGGAAAGATTATCAGTGTTTCTGTCAGTGTGAAATTGTTAATGATTGAAAATGTGTAAAATAATTGTGTCCAGATAGGATGATTTTCATCACTGCATTATGAGACTGTTTTCTGTTTAATTTAATTGGTGAGTGATTCTTTCACAAATAATTAATTCATTAGAAATTAATAATTCAAATTCATAAGAAATTCATTAATTGCAATAATTTAATAATGAGATAAATTAGAACAATAAATTAATTAGAAAATATGTAATAGGAAGTAATTAATAATTTGATAAATAATTAATTAGATTAAAGATAAGAAATTTAGAAATTAATAATTGGAAAGAATTGAATAATTCATAAGAAATTAGAATACCAAATTATAATTAGAAATTCAGTAAGATTTTTATAATTAGCTTAAAAATAAGATATTACAATTGGAAATAATTAGAAAATTAATAAGAAATTAATAATTAGATAAATAAGAAATTATAATAAGGATTAATTAGAGATTTATTAATTCATCAGAAAATAGAGAAATAATAAATGCATAATAAGAAATTCATGATTTTATTAAAAATGAGAACTTGGAATAAAATGTAATAATTAGAAATTAATTAATAAGAACAAATTAATAAGATAAATAATTAGAATAAGGAATAATAATTAGACATTCAGAAATTAGAATAAGAAGGAAATTAATAATTAAAAATTAAATTATTCATAAGCATTGAATAATTAGATTCAAAATAAGAAATTACTCAAATTACAATAAGAAATTAATAATTAGAAATGAATTCATAAGAACAAATTGGATAAATTAATAATTGATTTGTCCTGAAAAATGTCAAAATCCCCCCCAAAAAATTAATGCTCAGAAAAACATGCTTTATTGTCTTTAATCTATTTTTGTCTTTTTTGGAGTGAATTATTGTCTTTATGCAGAATATGATTTGCTATTGTCTTTTGTGGTGTGAAATATGAGCAGTTTTATCAGCCGTATGAAATAAGCATCTGAAATAATTTTATTGACACAAAATAAGCATCAATTAAGGTACAGTGTTCCAGTATTAACCGTCCTCCTCCCACCACGTCTTTCTCTCTCGTCCTCTTTTGTGTCCGTCGGTTTTGTTTGTCGGAGCCGCAGATTCAGTTCGCACGGATTGAGTCTTTCCAGTCCTCGTCGGGTGAAATCCGCAGTGTTTGCGCTTGGGCACGAACTCCAGCGCCGCCTTCCAGCTCCCCGTGTCCTTCACGGTGCTCAATATGCGCATCATCTGATCCAGGGTCAGGTTCTTGGCTCCAGAGTCCCAGTCCAGATGCTCATCCAGCGGGAGGCGCGCGGTGGCTAGCTGGAGGCGTTTAGCATTAGCTAGCGAAACGCCGGACTGGATGGATCGGTCCACGATGGCGCCGACGACGTAAACCTTCCTGTGGTCGAACTCGCGGAGAACGGTGTGCGAGTCCGCGGTGAGATACACCAGATCCTCGCGGGGAAAAAGGTCCGCGGGTTGGCTCGCGGTGTCCGTGATTAGCATCCGCTCCCATGTTTCCGCGCCGTAGCGCTTGAGGAGCTCGCGGTGATAGGCGCCGCCCGGCGTCAGCCCGCAGAAGTGCAAGTGAAACGGGTCTGAAGACCGCCGGTTGAAGCCTTCGGTCTCCATCAGCTGAGACACGGCGTTCTCCATCTCGCGCCGCGTCATGTGTCGCTCGTAGCTCATATCGTAGACTAGCGGCTGCCCAAAACGCATAGCCTGCGCCACGCGCCAGTTCTGCAACCGATCCATAGAACCGCTCCAGAACTTCATGAGAAACGTGTTCTTCAGTTCCCGCTCTTCTCCGTCGGTGTTCCTCTCAGGTCTCGGCTTGTTCTCACGCTTCTCTTTCTTCGAGATCTTGTGCGCTTCTTTGATGGCGAGGAACTTGAGGAACTTCTTCTTAGCGGATTTGGTGGTTAGCACCGCGAGATCTTGGAGCTGCTCGTCCGTGATGCTCTTGGGAACGAGCTTCCCGGCCTGGTGCCACATCTCCACCAGCTCGCGGTGGCAGTCCAGCGGCGACGGACTCGGGTCGCTCTGGTTCTCAGGCAGAGCTTGAGTCTTCATCACGGCCTTCCACACGTCCAGGTCCAGTTTCTCCTCCTCTTCATCTCTCCCGGTGGTCTGAGACGTGCTGATGGATCTGAGGAGCGCCTGAACCGGAGCGCGAGAGCAGATCCGTCTCGCCGCTAGCGAACACGAGCGCAGGAACATCACGTCGAACACCTGAGGAAACACACACTGAGACTGAGGAAATGTGATGAAGGGTTCATTCAGCCAGAAATTATCCCATAATTCACATTATCCTGGCTCTTCCCAGCTTTATAATGGGAGTGAATGGAGGAGGAGATTTTGAAGCCCTAAAAAGCTCATCATCATCATAACAATAATCCATACGCCTGCAGGGGTTAATACAGGCCTTCTGAAGCCGAGGAACATATCCATATTTATAACTTTATAAACTATAATCACTGGGTTCCGGTAACGGCCGTACACGAGTCGAGTTCCGGCGGAAGAGTGACCTCTGACCCCACGCATGACCTCTGACCTGACGCATGACAAGTGACCTCTGACCCCACGCATGACAAGTAACCTCTGACCCGAAGCATGACCTCTGACCCGACGAATGACCTCTGACCCGAGACATGACGAGTGACCTCTGACCCCACTCATGACAAGTAACCTCTGACTCGACGCATGACGAGTGACCTCTGACCCCATGCATGACGAGTGACCTCTGACCCCACGCATGACAAGTAACCTCTGACCCGAAGCATGACCTCTGACCCGAGACATGACGAGTGACCTCTGACCCCACTCATGACAAGTAACCTCTGACTCGACGCATGACGAGTGACCTCTGACCCGACGCATGACGAGTGACCTCTGACCCCATGCATGACGAGTGACCTCTGACCCCACGCATGACCTCTAACTAGGGTGACCAGACGTCCCGTTTTTCCCGGGACAGTCCCGTATTTCAACTCTAATTTTAGTGTCCCGACTTATTATGAAAAAATCATGTTTTGTCCCGTATTTCATCGTTAATATATATTTTTATATATTATAGGTTTCGTTTTCGAAAGGCTACGTGAATATGTATGTATGTTATGTTCAAAACCGTGTAGCGCGCGCATGACACTGACCCGACGCATGACGTATTGACGAACACGGAAGCACAGAGGATCGAGCAAAACAAAACACCGGTCACGAATTAGAGTCTAAAAGGAGGATTTAAAAAAAAAAAAAAGTGGGAGGAGCTTGAGTTTGTCTGGATCGTTAGAGGCGTCGACTTTCACCTGAGCTTACGCTACTCCTACATCATGCGTCGGGTCAGAGGTCATGGGTCGGGTCAAAGGTCACTCTTCCGCCAGAACGACTGTTACCGGGAGCCAGTGATTACAATTTATAAAGTTGTAAATATGGATATTGAGTGGCACCATTCACTCCCATTATAAAGCTGGGAAGAGCCAGGATAATGGGATATTTTTAATTGTGTTCAGATGAAAGAAGAAACTCATATAAACACCAGGATGGCTCGAGGAAGAGTAAATCTTCATTTTTTAAATGTTACCACTGGTTTCAGAACATTCAAAAGTAACATTCCCATGTTTGAAGAATGATACAATGTTTCCTGAACGTTCGAATAACCAAGAAAAACGTTTAAAAACTGCACGTTCGTTCGTTAGTTAAATAAGCGTGTTGTCACACATGCGAAGGTGCAAAAATTTTTATAATAAAGACTTATCAGAAACATTTAAACAGCAAAATGTCAACAACAAACAACTAGGAAACAGCAAAAATGTCACAGGCATCGCACAAAAGTTTTGTTTTTGGGTAGAATTCACACACAAACATTCCAAGACAATTCGCTTGAAATTAAATTCAGTCCAAAACAGTGAAGAACCGGCGATATTGTGACAACTAGCCCCGGTCTCCTCCATATCTATAATAACATTCACACACATTGATCACAAATTTAAAATCAATATACCATCAGCTGTATCTCTGTATGTTCACTCAGAAGTCACTGCCGAGCCCTCAAAAGGACACACGCTGCAAACGTGCATGCCGGTGTGCAACAGTAAAAGATGACCGTGCGGAAACCTGCTTTCGCTTAGTTAGTAAACTAGCTGTCTGTAATAATTAGATATTTTAAAACACGCTTATATGCCCAGATGTGCATTTTATTCATGAATAGTAAAATAAGTAATATCACTACAAGTATAACACATTTATGTTGAGATCTGCAAACAGTGTAGGAACTATTGACGGCGTTTCTACTCGGCTCGTTTGTAATGGTACACCACACACTAGTAAACATCCGCCACACAGACTGCAGATAGTGAGTTATAATCTGATAATTTAGTTCGTAATTCTTAGCGAATTCAGTTAAAGCGTCATGAGCTTTTTCCTTCCCAAACTGTCATGTAAAAAAGAGATCGACGACGCCATTAAGACGGTGGCCGAGAAGGTGTTAGTGCTTCGCTTCGGCAGAGATGAAGACTCCGTGTGTTTGCAGCTCGACGAGATCGTGAGTTCGTGATATTTGCTTTACTGTTCAGTTACTTGATATATGATATTCGTTTACCTTTTTTATTTGAGTACGTGCATAAATAATAGATTTATGCTCAATTTGCATTTTTTGAAAGTCACTCATTATATGTATTTTAGGGTCTATATGACATTTTATATTTGCATATGATAGGTGTATATATAATAGTTGTATGCTAAATTAGTATATTGTGAAATCGCATATAACATAAGAGTTTGTAAATATATAATGTACTTACACACACACACACACACACACACACACACACACACACACTTTCTCTCTCTCTCACACACACACACACTTTCTCTCTCTCTCTCACACACACACACTTTCTCTCTTTCTCACACACACACACACACACACACACTTTCTCTCTTTCTCACACACACACACACTTACTCTCTCTCTCACACACACACACACTAACACGTGCACATTCACACAGACACACTCTCTCACACACACACACACACTCTCTCTCACACACACACACACACACACACACACACACTTACTCTCTCAAACACACACACATTCTCACACGCACACTTACTCTCTCACTCACACACACACACACACACACACTTACTCTCTCAAACACAGACACACACACACTTACTCTCTCTCACACACACACACACACACACACACACACACACTTACTCTCTCAAACACACACACACACACTCTCTCTCACTCACACACACACACTTACTCTCTCACACACACACACACACACACTAACACTTATATTTACAAGCTTTTAAATTAGATGCGATTAATCGATTTGATGGCACTAATATATAGTTAATCACCTATTTATATCAGCATTTTTGCATATTTAACAGCTTTTAAATGCTTAATTTGCATAAGCACATTTATATATTTTATGTATGCATATATAGTTTGTGTGCACTTTAATACGCCAATGTTTGATTTTTAAATTTAAGGAAGAGTCAATCCTCTTGATCAGCAACAGTAAACTCAGCTGTGTTTGATTGACAGCTGTGTTTGATTGACAGCTGTCGAAGACGGCTCATGATCTGAGTAACATGGCGAGTGTGTATCTGGTGGACGTGGAGACGGCGCCGCTTTACACCCGATACTTCGACATCAGCTTCATCCCCTCGACGGTGTTCTTCTTCAACGGGCAGCACATGAAGGTGGACTACGGGTGAGCAGCGCACGCTAATATCAGATCCCACAACAGGAAGTGCTTCTGCACAAACAGGAAATGTGGTTAAACTGAGAAGTTACGCTGACAAACTACATTTAAGTTCTGCTGAGACTGATGTTTCCAAAGAGTTTGGCAACAAGACGAGCGGAGCTTTCAAACGTCAAAACATGCTAACAATGTGCTAAAACATGTGGGAAACCAGCCACATACCAAATCATGCTAAAACATACCAAATCATGCTAGCAACATATTAAATCATGCGAGCAACATGTTAAAAATGCTAACAATGTGTTAAAACAAGCTCATAACACGTTAGCAACACACTAAATCATGCTAGAACATAAAACTTCAATGTGCTAAAACATGCTACCAAGATACTCAATCATGTTAGCAACATGTTTAACCATGCTAGAAACATGCTAGCAACATAATCATGTTAAAACTTTTACTATTTGTTAATCATGCTAGCAATGTTTCATCATGTTAGAAACATACTAGTAACATACAAAAACATGTTAGCAATGTGCTAAATCATTCTAGAAACATTATGGTAAAAAACACTAAATCATGTTAACATATGTAAAATCATGCTAGAAACATGTTAGCAATGTGCTAAAACATGTTAGCAACATACTAAATTGTTGAAACATGTTAGCAACATGTTAAAACATTTAAGCAATGCGCTAAATAATGTTAGAAAAATGCTAGCAATGTATTAAATCATGGTTACAACAGCTAAATCATGTTCGGAACATGTAAAATCATGCTAGCTGTGTGCTAACTCACGTTAGAAACGTGTTAAATCATTTTAACAATTTGCCAAAAACATGTTAACAATGTGCTAAATCATGTTTGGAACATGTAAAATCATGCTAGCTATGTGCTAACTCACGTTAGAAACATGCCTTCAACGTGTTAAATCATGTTAACAAGGTGTTAAAATATGTTAGCAACTTGCTAAACTGTTAGCAAAGTGTTTGAGTGAAATATCTTCATACATCCGCGTCTTCCTTGATACTTGAGTCGAGTTATTAATGTGTCCACTCCTTCAGATCTCCAGATCACACCAAGTTCGTGGGAAGCTTCAAAACCAAACAGGACTTCATGGATCTGATCGAAGTGATCTATCGAGGCGCCATGAGAGGGAAGCTGATCGTCCGGAGCCCGATAGACCCGAGGAACGTTCCCAAATATGACCTGCTGTACCACGACATCTAGCGACGGGTCCAGCGCGGCGTTTCAAGTAGAGTTCCCAGGGAAATGACGATCTGGAGTATTTATTCTGTGCTCTGACATTTTTGTATGTTTTTTAAATAAAGCTTATTGATTTCACACTGACCTGTGGACGTTTCATGACAATTTGAAGGTGATTTGACACTATTTAAAGGGTTAGTTCACCCAAAAATTATGTCATTAATGACTCTCCCTCCTGTCGACCCAAGCCCGTCAGACCTCCGTTCATCTTCAGAACACAGTTTAAGATATTTTAGATTTAGTCCGAGAGTTTTCTGTCCCTTCTTTTGTAAATGTGTGTACGGTATACTGTCCTTGTCCAGAAAGGAAATAAAGACACCATCAAAGTAGTCCATGTGACATCAGTGGGTTAGTTAGAGTGTTTTGAAGCATGGGAAATACATTTTGGTCCAAAAATAACAAAAACTAGGACTTTATTCAGCATTGTATTGTGTTCCGGTTCTGTTGTGGATCCTCGTTCACGAGTCCGCAGTGCCGCTGCTGACGTGTGTCTGGTGCGTCCGTGTATTCGGGTTCAAATAAATATGGGCCAATATTTATTTAACATATTTATTAACATACATTTACAATGGAGGGACAGAAAGCTCTCGGACTAAATCTAAAATATCTTTTTTGGGTGAACTAACCCTTTAAAGTCCCCCTGTGAATCGTCATTGAAGAAAGATGGCGCCGGTGAGTCGTTCGGCATGCCTTCCTTCGGTTGCTGTGTGTGTTTGATGTTTTATCCGCTTCAGAGACGAGCGCGCGCCGCGGCGGCTGGTGGCGGGCTTATCGCGGATGTCATCAACGCCTCTTCGAGTCAACAGGATGCAAGCTTCTCTTATCTGGTTATGGTTGTTCCTCAAAAGCCAGAGTTGTCAACTTTGATCAAAGTTTCGGGACGTCGTGTTAAGAAGAGGGGGGTTAATCCGGATAATCTTCGTTTTTTGGAGTATGTGCGAAATGAAGTGAGTCGGCCGGTACTATTGGGAAGATGGCCCTTTCTAATACAAGAGCTATTAGTAATAAAACATTTCTAATTAATGATCTTATCTCTTCTTATTGTCTTCTGAGTAATTACTCCAGTGGTTCGACTGATGGAGACTGTTTTCCAAGACGGCTCCTGCCTGTATACGCGAAGTGGACTGTCTTTATAAAGTATCTTCTTATTAAACTGTCTGTACTTACAAAGTTCTCAATGCTTCGTTTGCATAGGGCTTTGAAATTGGATAAGATTCATAATTTTCACTAAGAAATGTACAGTTTTTTTATCTGACATTAACTTGTTGATGTCCCCCTGTGGTGTAAATCCAGCTTTTAATGTTGTTTATGTGTCTATGTGGTGTTTTTAATACGCTTTAAGACACACCATGTGTAAATTCATAAGTCGACAGCATTGCTGAGTATTTTCTCCTTAAAACCAAGCCCGTAGGCAGGGGGGGTTCGGGTGGTTCGAACGAACCCCCCTCACTGCCAAAGGTCCAGAATTTAAGTAGTTAAAAAAAAAAAAAAAATGTTTATGTGATTATTGTCATCATTGTTTTAATCAATGCTTGTGACAAATATTATTGGTTGCTGTTTCAAATTAATATGATTATTGTGTAGCTGGACGTGTGTGTGTGCGCCGCGCGTGCAGTTCAGAGAGAGTTCTCGCAATACACTTTTCAAACCAACGGTGAAGAAGCATCGCATCTGAATGAAAGGGCTGGGGATCGAGTCCAAAAAGAATCGATTCCTCGATTCCGAGGCGTTGGGAATTGAGAGTCGATTCCAAAGGTTCAAAATGCAATGGTTGGAATCGATTCCGGGGAATGATCTTACTCGTTGTAGTTTAGGACAAGTAATACATCTGATTTATGAAATCAATCGACAAAAACAATCAAATTAACTTTTAAGTTATTAAATTCAAGTTCACGCAAACGTTTCCGTCTGCTGCGGCTGTCAGTCATTCTCCATTCAGCGTTCAAACAGCGCGTTGCGTTCGGTTACGACAGTCAACATGATGAAACTCCCTCCAAGATGATTCACTGTTACTATTATTAGGCTATACTTGATCTGTAGATAAAGGTCTATGGTTTCGCATAAAATGACTATATTGCTGGACTGCATTGCTGTATCTTAACCATGTTCCTTTGTTAGAACACAGGAGAGCACTATCATTCTTCACGCGCATAGTAACTGACATTTAAAACTGTTAAAAGAAAAGGCTCAATAAACTATTTTATAGATAGACGGCAAAAGATGCATCTCAAAATGCATCAGATTGATGCTTTAAAATATGGAATATTTAAAATTTTCTCACGGGGGAGCATGCCCCCGGACCCCCCTAGAGGGGTAATATTCCTCTCACCTGGGGGAGGAGTTATATATATATTATATATATACTGTATATGTATTTATTTTTATTTTTTTTTATTAAAAGGATTTCTATATTTTATCCACTCAATAGACTACAATATAATAGCCATATAAACGTAGAGTTTATAATAAGAAAATATTTTAGGTGCATCAAAAAGCGTGCTCATTAACCAGCAGACAAGCTAATCCAGCACAAATTAGTGCATAAAAGGTCACCAAAATTAAGTATTTGAACCTCATAATTAAATACAAAAGGAGGAAAAAAACTGCAAAAATGTCCACTTTTTGAAAAAAAGAACCCCCCCTTTCAATAGGCTGGCTACGGACCTGAAAACTGCAGTGAACCAAAGACAGTCTCAAAAACACGGTTTGAAATCGCTGGTGTTTCTGACGTCACAAACGACCTTGTAACCAATCAGGGGTGCGTTTCCCGAAAGCATCGTTAGCCAACTATGGTCGCAAGTTCCGTCGTTACCAATAGAGTTCAATGGGATTTGCGACCAACTTGCGACCATAGTTGGCTAACGATGCTTTCGGGAAACGCACCCCAGATCAACGTGTGATCGTCAACCAGTGGATCTCTGAGCGAGTGAGTGGAGGCGGGGCTCATTTGCATATTCATAGAACCGCGCATACTAAATGAGACGAGGGTGTCGAGTTACATTCAAGATATTTTAAGGCATGAGATTTTTTTCAAGGATTTTTAAGGAATAAAATTGACTACTTTTGTTTACGTGTGTGTGTGTGTGTGTGTGTGTAACAGAGGAGAGTCTGCTGGAGAAAAGAGAACGAGACAGAGCTCGTAATAAAACAAGAATCAACATCAGCTCGTGTGTGTGTGTGTGTGTGTGTGTGTGTGTGTGTGTGTGTTCAGGAGAAGGAGGGGTTCGGACTGTAAAGCGCTGTGGAGATGATGGTGTTTATTACTCTACAGGAGAGGAAGTGTTTTATTGAACAGATAAACTCATATTTCCCTGTACAGATTCTCTGTGGAGATCAGTTCATTATGGTGGGTGTGCTGGAGATTATTCTTAAGGAAGTATTGTGTTAATAATGTGTAAAACTACAGTAACATCTTCAGAGAGTCAGCTTCAGATCTAAACGCGTTATTTCTCTAGTTGTGAATGTTTTCTGAGCAGAAGGATAATCAATAATCATATTCAGCCGAAGCACAACCACAACAGTCCTTTCGCTAAATACATATTTTTGTTAAACTGCTAAAAAGTTACATGGTGTACCTTTAACAAAGATTAATAAATGCTGTTCGTTGCTAGTTAATGCATTAACTAATGTTACTAAATGAGAACTTATTGTAAACTTAAAGTATTTATAAACACCATTTTCTATGGAAGCTTGTTTCCGCCACAGAATAATAATAATAAAAAAGGTTATTGCAACTTTTCTCACAATCTCAGAATTGTGATATAAACTCGTAATTCTGACTTTTTCCCCCCTCAAAATTGCATGTTTATATCCTGCAGTTCTGGCAAGCGGGAGACATACATAGAAATGCATGATATAAAGTCAGAATTGTGAGATATAAACATGCAATTCTAAAAAAAAAGTTTTTAACTCACAATTCTGAGAAAATATGTCGCAATTGAGAGAAAAAAGTAAGAATTGCCACAGAATAAAACATTCTGTGACATTCCGATGTAAACGCGCAATTGTGACATAAAAAGCTGCAAATATCTTTTAAAATGTTTTATTCTGTGGTAGAAACAAGCTTCCATAATTTTCCACCCATTTTTACTTTCATAAAAGAATGACTAACTAGACATTTAACTAAATGTTTTTAACACTATCCAGTAGAGCGTGTGGTGAGGTGAAGCAAGTTATTACATGTCGTTTAAACATGTTTTTCTGTGGTGTCACTGATGAATCATTTATAATAAGAGAAGGAACATAAATTCAATGTTGATTTAGTGTTGACTATAAAACCAGCATGAAACAGCATGCACTCGTCTTTTCGTATATCGAGTGAAGCGCTTCTGGAACAAGAACACATGTGGGCGGGGCTTGATTGTGTCTGTGGGGAATTGATTGGATGGTTGTGGTTTGCTATTGGCTGATCTCATGTGAGTGACAGGTTAAAGCCCCGCCCTCGTCATCAGAGAAGAGAAGAGATGCTGCGAGAGGAACTGATTCTGATTCAAGATTACCAGGAACAGCAATTTAACACAATAATGATTCAATAATTTAGAATAAACACTGCAATATTTCTTAACGTGTGTTTTCTGTTGACTTTTTCGCCCTTTGGCTTGCTTAGTTGAGGACATTTAATTTAATATTCAACAATATTATTGATCTCCTGCATTGACAGCATTATATGAGAACTGAACTGAGCTGGACGATGACATCACTTCACATGCGACTGTGATGAAAAAATATTCTAAATATCCAACGCATTCTCATCCCAAGGCATCATATACTGACGCTTTTGCCAAAGCGTCTACATCCAACGCACATGGCACCCTTTAGCGTCAATATAACACGCTTCGGTTATGGGTAGGTTTAGGTCTGGGGTAGTGTTAGGGTTAGACCACTAGGAGGCGCCTTCTGGCCCATATACACTCACCGGCCACTTTATTAGGTACCCCATGCTAGTAACGGGTTGGACCCCCTTTTGCCTTCAGAACTGCCTCAATTCTTCGTGGCATAGATTCAACAAGGTGCTGGAAGCATTCCTCAGGGAGTTTGGTCCATATTGACATGATGGCATCACACAGTTGCCGCAGATTTGTCAGCTGCACATCCATGATGCGAATCTCCCGTTCCACCACATCCCAAAGATGCTCTATTGGGTTGAGATCTGGTGACTGTGGAGGCCATTTTAGTACAGTGAACTCATTGTCATGTTCAAGAAACCAATTTGAAATGATTAGAGCTTTGTGACATGGTGGAAGTAGCCATCAGAGGATGGGTACATGGTGGCCATAAAGGGATGGACATGGTCAGAAACAATGCTCAGGTAGGCCGTGGCATTTAAACGATGCCCAATTGGCACTAAGGGGCCTAAAGTGTGCCAGGAAAACATCCCCCACACCATTACACCACCACCACCAGCCTGCACAGTGGTAACAAGGCATGATGGTTCCATGTTCTCATTCTGTTTACGCCAAATTCTGACTCTACCATCTGAATGTCTCAACAGAAATCGAGACTCATCAGACCAGGCAACATTTTTCCAGTCTTCAACTGTTCAATTTTGGTGAGCTCTTGCAAATTGTAGCCTCTTTTTCCTATTTGTAGTGGAGATGAGTGGTACCCGGTGGAGTCTTCTGCTGTTGTAGCCCATCCGCCTCAAGGTTGTGTGTGTTGTGGCTTCACAAATGCTTTGCTGCATACCTCGGTTGTAACGAGTGGTTATTTCAGTCACTGTTGCCCTTCTATCAGCTCGAACCAGTCTGGCCATTCTCCTCTGACCTCTGGCATCAACAAGGCATTTCCGCCCACAGAACTGCCGCTCACTGGATGTTTTTTCTTTTTCGGACCATTCTCTGTAAACCCTAGAGATGGTTGTGCGTGAAAATCCCAGTAGATTAGCAGTTTCTGAAATACTCAGACCAGCCCTTCTGGCACCAACAATCATGCCACGTTCAAAGTCACTCATATCAACTTTCTTCCCCATACTGATGCTCGGTTTGAACTGCAGGAGATTGTCTTGACCATGTCTACATGCCTAAATGCACTGAGTTGCCGCCATGTGATTGGCTGCTTAGAAATTAAGTGTTAACGAGCAGTTGGACAGGTGTACCTAATAAAGTGGCCGGTGAGTGTATATCTGCGTCTCATATTGACGCTAAAGGGTGCCATGTGCGTTGGATGTAGACGCTTTGGCAATATTATGTAATAACATAGTCAAGTCATGATTCAGTTTTCAGTATGTTAGGAAGGCAGTGTTTTAACTGTAAGGATAAATATAATAATAGAAGAGATTCTGCAAGAGGAAGTTGTATGAGGAATGTAACACAATAATAATGATGTGCACCTGTAAATCATTTAGAATAAATTCCATTAAAAAAGAAAACAAGACCGTAAAGAACAGAAGTGCTCATTCTGATGCAAAGACTTTTATTATAGATGTGATCATCCTAGACGTTGTTGTTCTGCTCGCTGGCACGGCTCCTGCTCCTGGTCATGATCTCGAAGGGAGTCGGAGGGACTTTAGGTTTTATCATCTTGGAGAAGAAGCGAAACACGGACTCCATGCAAACGACGGGCGTCGAGTCGTGACACTGAGTCCCGGCGGAGATCTGCGTGCAACCGGCCTTCAGGGATCCCACGGAGCGATTCAGAGGCTTTCTGCTGGGAATCCAGGATCTGGAGTGGGATTTCAACCAGTCGCGCCCGGCGTTTCCCAACGGCTGGTGCCAGAAGCTGTGGGACGAATCCAAGAAAGCCACGGCTTTCACTTTCCGCTGAACATCTTCGATCTGACGGCATAGAAGATCCACGAACGCCAGGCCTCCGTATCCGTGCGCGACTATAAAAATGTGTTCGGGAGAACTTTGTGAAAGCATGCGTTCCCAAACCATCCGAACGTGTTGCTCGTGAGTCTGCGACCCTTCATTTGGATTCATCAGGAGAACGGCGCAGGATTCAAGCAAAGCCCAGCGTATATACGGGATCTGAGATCCTCGTTCAAGTCCATCGTGTGCCGCGAGTTTCCAACTCCACACGCCACTCCTCACCGTTCCCAAATCCTGGATCAGAACCAGGAGACTCCCGGGATTCTCCAGTGCTCCTGCGCTCATAAACACGAAACTGTCCTCCAGGAACACTTTAATGAGCTGAAACTGGGTCTCTAGGAGGTGGTGCACGTGTCGGGAGATGTAGAGACACAGGCTGCGATGCGCTCGCTCCGTGTCGCCGGCGTCGTGTAGTCTGAAGGGGAATCGGTAGGGCTCGCGGGTCTCTCTGTGCCGCAGGAGACCGTCCTCCGAAAAACAATACGGGAAATCGGATTGGATGGGATTTCTGGTCGCCTCAGAGCACTCCGACATCGTGTGGGACCTGAGACATGAATATGCAAAAAAATATGCAAATAGATTATAAATGGGAATAAATTACATTTGACTATACACTCACCTAAGGGATTAGGAACACCATGCTAATACTGTGTTTGACCCCCTTTCGCCTTCAGAACTGCCTTAATTCTACGTGCCATTGATTCAACAAGGTGCTGAAAGCATTCTTTAGAAATGTTGGCCCATATTGATAGGATAGCATCTTGCAGTTGATGGAGATTTGTGGGATGCACATCCAGGGCACGAAGCTCCCGTTCCACCACATCCCAAAGATGCTCTATTGGGTTGAGATCTGGGGCCTCATTTATAAACGTTGCGTACGCACAAAAGAAGGCGTACGCCGCTCTCTAACTTGACTGTAAAATGTGCGGTCCTTCACGCAAGCTCTGACCCAGGCGTACGCACAAAAACGGGTGAAATGAGAAATGGCGACACCGTCGGCAGATGGAAGAAACACGTGAAAGTGTGTGAAACTGTAGACCGTTGTGTAAAAATAAATGGCAATACTGCCTCTCATAAATAACACGAAGACGTCAAAAAGCAAGTATTACAATTAACAGCCTACACGAACACCAGTTTGATCGATCTGCAACAGAAATGCAAATTAACACATATTTGCAAAAAGAAAAGTGAAATGTTCTGCAATAATATTGGCATGTTATACAATTCATCCTCATAAATAAGATGGTAAACAGAACGAAATAATGTACAAAACTGATATTCTCGCCAATGTGTCCGTCAGGCGGAGCAGATATAGCTAGATAGTCAGTCAGATAGATAGATAATTAGGGAGAGATAGATAGATAAATAGATAGATGTATTATTTGTCCACTGGGGAAAGTTGTTTTCATAGTAAAAATGTCTTCATCAGCTACGGAATCATGGTATTCATGCAGGTATTTCATGCATATGCCTTTAGTTTGTTTTATTTTTGATAAAATAACGTATGACGTATGTCTCAACCATTCAGAAAGCTGCAAGAAATTACATTTGCGCTGAACTATTTCCCATTTCCAAGTAGATTATAACCGACATCTGTAGCTTGTCATTTCTTTTTTATTTCGGCCACAGTCCGAGGTTGTGAGGCTACAGCATTTACAGCGTCTGCAACCTTTTGCCACTCAAGTGCCTTTTTGGCATTAGTAGGCTAATGCCCACACTGTGCCCTCCAAACAACATTTTTTCTCCTCTTTTCCACCTCGCCAACGATAACTTCTACTTCACATTGAATGAAGTAACGTTTTTTTGATTTCCTCTCTATGTTTGCCATGATTTCGCAATCGATGAATATTAACTTGTGGGCGTTTCACGGACTATTTATGGGCAACTATGGGCGTGACATGAAGCCGCAAAAGCTGCGCTACATTTAGAATTGATTGTGATTTATTAAGGGGAAAATGCGTAGGATGTGCCTGCGCACGGTTTTATAAATCCGAATATTTCTGTGCGTACGCACGTCCTATGTTTCATCCGTACGCCACTTCTGACGCAAATCCTACGCAAAGTTTTATAAATGAGGCCCCTGGTGACTGTGGGGGCCATTTTAGTACAGTGAACTCATTGTCATGTTCAAGAAACCAATTTGAAATGATTCGAGCTTTGTGACATGGTGCATTATCCTGCTGGAAGTAGCCATCAGAGGATGGGGACATGGTGGCCATAAAGGGATGGACATGGTCAGAAACAATGCTCAGGTAGGCCGTGGCATTTAAACGATTCCCAATTGGCCCTAAGGGGCCTAAAGTGTGCCAAGAAAACATCCCCCACACCATTACACCACCACCACCAGCCTGCACAGTGGTAACAAGGCATGATGGATCCATGTTCTCATTCTGTTTACGCCAAATTCTGACTCTACCATCTGAATGTCTCAACAGAAATCGGGACTCATCAGACCAGGCAACATTTTTCCAGTCTTCAACTGTCCAATTTTGGTGAGCTCTTGCAAATTGTAGCCTCTTTTTCCTATTTGTAGTGGAGATGAGTGATACCCGGTGGAGTCTTCTGCTGTTGTAGCCCATCCGCCTCAAGGTTGTGCGTGTTGTGGCTTCACAAATGCTTTGCTGCATACCTCGGTTGTAACGAGTGGTTATTTCAGTCAAAGTTGCTCTTCTATCAGCTTGAATCAGTCGGCCCATTCTCCTCTGACCTCTAGCATCAACAAGGCATTTTCGCCCACAGGACTGCCGCATACTGGATGTTTTTCCCCTTTCACACCATTCTTTGTAAACCCTAGAAATGGTTGTGCGTGAAAATCCCAGTAACTGAGCAGATTGTGAAATACTCAGACCGGCCCGTCTGGCACCAACAACCATGCCACGCTCAAAATTGCTTAAATCACCTTTCTTTCCCATTCTGACATTCAGTTTGGAGTTCAGGAGATTGTCTTGACCAGGACCATACCCCTAAATGCATTGAAGCAACTGCCATGTGATTGGTTGATTAGATAATTGCATTAATGAGAAATTGAACAGGTGTTCCTAATAATCCTTTAGGTGAGTGTATATTCACATAGAAAACAGCTAATTTTACTGTTTGGAATCTAAAATATGAATATGCAATGGATGTGACACTGAAGACTGGAGTAACGATGCTGAAAATTCAGCTTTGATCAAAGGATATAAATTATAATTGAACATATATTCACATAGAAAACAGCTGATTTACATTGGAATAATATTTCACTGTTTTTACTGTATTTTTGATCAAATAAATGCAGGTTTGATGAGCATAAGAGACTTTTTTCAAAAACATTAAAAATAGTAGGTGCTTTCCAAACTTTTGACCGGTACTGTATATATTAATTTTTATATATTTTAATAATAATTGAGCATCAGATCATCATGTTAGAATGATTTCTGAAGGACACACTGAAGAATGGAGTAATGATGCTGAAAATTCAGCTTTGATTATCAATAATAAATTACACTGTACTATATATTCACATAGAAACTGTTGTTTTACACTGTAATAATATGTCACTATTTTTACTGTATTTTTGATCATATAAATGAGAAGAAGAGACTCTTACTGTGATGAGATGAGTGTTTCTGTTTGAAAAGTTGCTTTATAATCTATCAATTATCAATGCATGCAAATTAAAGCATTTGTTTTATAGATTTACCTGAGAAAGATTACCTAGTTAAATCTGTATTCCGAGGACTCGTGAAAGTTATTCCTGATTTTTCTGTTCCTGCTGAGATGTAAATGTGTTAATAATCAGTGATCACATGACAGGTGTCGCTGATTGTCACGAGGGCGTCGCTTCATATGTTTAGTGCATCAACCAAAATAGTATTTGTAACAATACGCAGGAACCTTTCCAAATTAGAGTGTTACTTTAAATCACCTTAAATTAAGCAAGAGGCGTCTAGTTATCATCTCAGAAACTAAACGTGGCATGTTTGTGTAAAATGTCTCTTTTGATAGAATAATTTTTAAAGAAACGTTTCAAATTCAAGTGAATATAAAATGCACGTTCACATTTTGACAAAAGTTGTAGGACATCGGGAAATTGAATGCCTAAAGTAAGCATGCATACTGTGTACAATTTAATTTTATATATACTGGAGAGGTTGTAGTATGTCGTGATTTTATAGCACTTAGCACGTTTTTAAACTTTTATCATTTAATTATTTACTTTCAAACTACAACCATCTGGTTGGTTGTAACCATAACCCATCTGGTAATCTCGGGTTAACTGTAAACATGCGGAACATGTGCGCGAGTGTTTCCACCGGATGACTTTCACCGACACACACCGGATGTTGATCAAACATGGCAGCGACCTTGTGGTTCCATGAGACTCTGATGTGAATTTTATAATTGAGAAGAAATGAAGATTTATACACGTTTGTATTGTGTATAATCAGTCATGTTCTCAGCACTAAAGAGTGTATTTTTGGGCTTTGCCCGGACATCAAGCCAGCCAGGTAGAGTTAAGACAAATAATCTCACAGTATTAATTGTTCTATCTAATATAAATTATTTCCTTTATTTAGTATCACTAACGACAGATAGTATGGCGAAACCATGGTTTTTGAACATGTACATGATATTCTTACTATCTTAATACTCATGAATATGGCAATCTTACTAGTTTGTTTTTTTCTGCAGCATTACTGATGATTATGTATTATTAATAATAATATGGATATATGTACTGACTGTATGTACTTGATTCGGTTTATTTTGTTATAATAACCACTTGTCAAATGTGGGTGATGATATTTTACACACTGAACCTAAACCTGTGTTGACTAGTTGCTAAACCTGTTAACTACTTGCTGAGCATGTGTTATCTAGTTAATGAAGTGAACTAGTTAATTAGCTGCTGAACCTTTTAACTAGTTAATGCACCTCTTTTAACTAGTTAATGGACATTTTTAACTAGTTGCTGAATCAGTTTTGACTAGTTAATGAACCCGTTAACTAATTGCTGAACTGATCTTGTGTTAACTAGTTGCTGAACCTTTTAACTAGTTAATGAAACTTTTGTAACTAGTTAATGGACATTTTTAACTAGTTGCGGAACCTGTTAACTAGTTAATGAACTAGTTTGCTGAACCTGTGTTAACTAGTTAATGAACTAGTTGCTGAACCTTTTAACTAGTTAATGAACCTGTTAAATAACTAGTTGCTAAACCTTTTAACTAGTTAATGAACCTTTTAACTAGTTGCTGAACCTTTTAACTAGTTAATGAACCTGTTTAACTAGTTACTGAACCTGTTAACTAGTTGTTAAACCTGTTTAACTAGTTGCTGAACTGAACTTGTTAACTAGTTACTGAACCTGTTAACTAGTTGTTAAACCTGTTTATCTAGTTGCTGAACTGAACTTGTTAACTAGTTACTGAACCTGTTAACTAGTTGTTAAACCTGTTTATCTAGTTGCTGAACTGAACTTGTTAACTAGTTACTGAGCCAGTGTTAAAGTCCCACTCCGATCATATTTTGAGCTATTTTTAAACATTCCCAGTGGTCTTTAAATTATGATTATGCAATTTTTAGCCAAAATCACAAAACCTGTGCCGTTTTCTGGGACTTCGCTTCAGCAGAGCGGCAGTAGCTCATTAGCAATTCGCCTCTGCGTTGTGGGCGGAGCCATTGGCACGGAGACGACCCTCCCCCTGCCCGTTGCTGAGAGCTCTGTCTCTCCCGCTAGCTTACACCCCCAATACCGGTGGGGCAACAGTATTATATACACGTTAATTATTATTATCCGAAGTTAATCAGAGTTATCACCGATCACCGATCATTATTTCACTCCAAGACGTCGCGTGTGGAGACGCCCAGTGGAGTTACTACGTCACAACTCCAGTCGATTTTAGCCAGCATTTTAGCGTCTGTTACTGATTCACAGCCATTTGAATGTAGAAATACTCAGAAATACAACTTTGAGCTGATTTTTCTCAAGATATGTCCTCTAACATCAGAAAAATGCCACAAGAACATGTTAACACCTAGAAAAACATTATTTTCATCGGAGTGGGTCTTTAACTAGTTGCTGAACCAGTGTTAACTAGTTGCTGAACTTGTGTGTTAACTAGTTGCTGAACCTGTTTAACTAGTTGCTGAACTGAACTTGTGTTAACTAGTTGCTGAACCTGTTTAACTAGTTGCTGAACCGGTGTTAACTAGTTGCTGAACCAGTGTTAACTAGTTGCTGAACTTGTGTGTTAACTAGTTGCTGAACCTGTTTAACTAGTTGCTGAACTGAACTTGTGTTAACTAGTTGCTGAACCTGTTTAACTAGTTGCTGAACCGGTGTTAACTAGTTGCTGAACCAGTGTTAACTAGTTGCTGAACCAGTGTTAACTAGTTGCTGAACTTGTGTGTTAACTAGTTGCTGAACCTGTTTAACTAGTTGCTGAACTGAACTTGTGTTAACTAGTTGCTGAACCTGTTTAACTAGTTGCTGAACCGAACTTGTTAACTAGTTGCTGAACCGGTGTTAACTAGTTGCTGAACCAGTGTTAACTAGTTGCTGAACCAGTCTTAACTAGTTGCTGAACCTGTTTAACTAGTTGCTGAACCGAACTTTTTAACTAGTTGCTGAACCGAACTTGTTAACTAGTTGCTGAACCGAACTTGTTAACTAGTTGCTGAACCGGTGTTAACTAGTTGCTGAACCAGTGTTAACTAGTTGCTGAACTTGTGTGTTAACTAGTTGCTGAACCTGTTTAACTAGTTGCTGAACCGGTGTTAACTAGTTGCTGAACCTGTTTAACTAGTTGGTGAACTGAACTTGTGTTAACTAGTTGCTGAACCGGTGTTAACTAGTTGCTGACTCTTTTTCTCCAGATGTCCTGCAGAGCAGCATGAAGGTGGTGTCAGCGGGACTGAGGACTTACGCAGTTCCTCCAGATTACAGCGGTAACGCACCAGTGCTTCACCAGTTACTCCTTTACACTCGTTCGTTAAGGCCTGCCGTTACTGCATGCTAGTCTTCTATCGTTTAAGTCCTTTCAACAAGCCATAGAGTAGCACTTTATTTAGATGACTCGCGCTTTGATTTATATATGGTGTCTTTCTCCTTCGCAGACGTGGTTCTACCGGAGAAGCCGAAGCTCAAATTCCTGGAAAAGGTCCCGAGTTTGAAACAAGCCAAGAAGGAGATGAAGAAACTGCGGGACATCCAGGGGCCGGCCAAGAGCTCCAACACCTTCACCAGAGGACAGTACGGCATCGTGGTCCGGGTCTTATTGATTTTATTATTTTGATTTACTAGATTAACAATGCAATTAAAAATACAATATCAACAGAAGGGAGGAAAATAAATCATGCATATATACATATCAAACAAATGCTACATAGCGTCCACAGCTGTCAATACATATCAGTGCATATTCTTAAATATGAAGGAACATATACACATACATGCCTATACATGCAGGTCAAATTAGAATAACAGTTCAGTAATCCAACTTAAAAGGTGAAACTAATATATTTAGGGTATATAACTATATACATATGCATGATTATACTTTTCAGAGGGACGACATTTCTGTATCTAAATTTTTTTTTTTATTGATTTTATGTAATATTCTAATTTTCTGAGCATCAAAATTATAACTTTTGCGCGATATTCTAATTTTTCGAGTTTCACCTGTTTATGTACTGACCCCACAATTAAATTAAAATGAGCTTAACCATTCCTGTAACAATTACTGTTTACTTAGTGGAGGATGTCTTTAGGTTATTTATGTATCGACCAATTTTCACAGTATATGCAAGTTCTTCAATAATTCCAAACCATTGTTTACATTCACAAACATCTCTATTACACACTACATGAAACGCAATATCTGCAAAAGCATACTAGGGCACTTTAAGATTAGTGTGCACATGTAATACCGTGTGTCTGTTGTGTTTCTGATTCTGATCTGTGTGATTGTGTCTTTAGGCTCTGGGCGGCGGGTACCTGCACTGGGGTCACATGGAGATGATGCGTCTCACCATTAACCGCCGCATGGACCCCAGCACCACCTTCGCCCTGTGGCGCTTCCGGGCCCCGCACAAGCCCATCACGCGGAAGGGCCTGGGTCAGCGCATGGGCGGCGGCAAGGGCGCCATCGACCACTACGTGACCCCGGTGAAGTGTGGCCGGCTGGTCCTAGAGGTCGGAGGTCACGTGGAGCTGGCTGAGGTCGAGCCGGTGCTCACATGGCTGAGGTCGAGCCGGTGCTCACAGAAGTGGCCAAGAAGCTTCCCTTCCCAGCCAAGGTTTGCCCAGCAACTTCCTCTTATGCTTTTCATAAGCAGCTGTTTCTGCATATATATTTGGCAATATCGTGATTGAGGAAAGGGTTGCATAACGTTATGCTGTGTGTTTATTTAGTGCACTCAACATTTAATTTTTAATAAAATTATTGGTTACAAAACTCTTTTTTTTTTTTTTTTCTAACACAATTGACTAATCATAACTACAAAAACATCTCAAACAAGAAGAATCTGAACTTTGACAAAAGTGTCTGTGATAAAAGCGAGTAATTATGCTTTTCATAATCGGCTGTTTCTGCAAATGAATGTGGCAATAATGTGAATGAGGAAAGGGTTGCATAGCATTATTTGAAGAACATGCTGTGTGTTTATTAAGTGCACTTAATAAAAAAAAGTTTGTTAAATTTTGAATCAAGTTATTGCTAACAAAATGCTTTTTTTTTCTTATACAATTGACCAATCATAACTGCAAAAAAAACATTTCAAACAAGAAGAATCTAAATCTGAATTTTTTTTGTTTGTTTTTTATTATTTTATATAGAAATAAATTATGCATGAGTTAGAGGTAAATATTGTTTAGTTCCATGAAATCCTTTCAAAATATTAAATAATAAATATTATGGGACTAAATTGTAGTACATTCATTTAAAAAATATTGACTCTTTTTTTTTTTTTTTTTACTTAAATACTGCATTAATTCGGGGGAAAAACAGTATAAATTGTTTTTATTTAATATAGAAATACATAGTGCATAAAGTAGAAGTAAATATTGTTTATTACCATGAAATCCCCTCTAAAAACAAAATATTACAAAATAAATATAATGGAATTCAAATATAGTACATTCATTTAAAAAATATTTACTCTGTTTTAAAAAAAACTTAAATACTGCATTAATTGGGGGAAAAACAGTATAAATTGTTTTAACAATATTTGTATTTAATATAGAAATAAATGCTGCATAAATAAGAGGTAAATATTGTTTACTACCATGAAATCCCCTCAAAACACAAAATATTGAAGAATAAATATGGGACTGAATTAATTTCAAATACATTTGCTTTATTTTTTAACTTATTAAAAGCAGCAGTATACAGTTTTTATAAAATAATTTGCTTTATTTTTTAACTTATTAAAAGCAACAGTATACAGTTTTATGATATTTGTATTATTGTATATAATTATAAAATAATTTGCTTTATTTTTTAACTTATTAAAAGCAGCAGTATACAGTTTTATGATATTTGTATTATTGTATATAATTATAAAATAATGCAAATTATATAGTTTCCCATCGAAACCAAGAACTGATGAATGCAACGTAAATAGCTTTGTATAAAAGCATCTGCCAAATGCATGCAAACAGAGAAATAAATGCTTCATAATTTAGAGATAAATATTGTTTACTACCATAAAATTCCCTCAAAACACAAAATATTAAAAATATATATATTATAGAATTAAAATATAGTACATTCACTTCATTAAAAAGTTTTTCTTTTGTCTGTTTCGATGAGAACTAAGAAACGAGTTTAGTAGAAGAACCCAGTTGAACGTGTGTGTGTGTGTGTGTTGCAGGTGGTGAGCAGAGAGAGTCTGGCGGCGCTGTATCAGGATCAGGCCGAGCGCGAGAGCAATAACCAGAACCCCTGGAGCTTCGAGCGGGTCGCGAGGGCAAACATGCTGGGCCTTCGGAAAGTCCTGAGTCCGTTCGACCTGCGCAATCACGGCCGCTACGCTGGGAAGTTTTTCTACCCCGCACGCGTGTAGAGTGTGTGTGTGTTCAGAGATAACACCGCAGAGCTGATGAACACACACTCCAGCAGGATGTGTGTGTGTGATAATCTTCAGATCCATATCACTGCTTCTGAGTGTTCTGTCGTTCACTTATCTCATAACACACACACACACACACACACACACTGACAGACCCATCACCTGTTTACTTCATATGCTCTTTTATCTCACATGCTTTTGTTTGTGAGGAAATATGTGCTGTGTAAATGTTAAATACTATGTAAGGCTAATAAATGTGGTTTCTTTGGCGTTTGGGTTGAGTCGTATGGGACTCGAAAGTGTATTTTATGAAAGCTCAAAAAAATTGTAATTGAGTTGTTTAAATTACGACAAAAATGAATGAATATATGACATAAGTCGTAATTGTGACAGTAATAGTTAGTAGATAGTCAAAATTATGATTGTGTGTCATAATTATATATTTGAATGCCTTTTTTTGGGTCCATTTCAAAATTTTAATCGCATAATTATGAGTTTGTACGCCATCATTATTTTCTTTGCATTATAAGTTTTACTTTTTATCAATTATGAATCAAAATTATGGCTCAGTACGTCATAATACTGTTTTTCCATGAGGTCATTTTGACTTTTTATGTCATAAATATGATTTAGTATGTCATTTGTGATTTACCAAAGCATTCTTTATTTCGTATGTGGCGAAAATGAGCTTCCACATTAATTTTGTTTTATATAAGTTAATTTTAAAACTATAATACAGATGTGTGATGTAAAAATGTATGGAAACGAGAACATTAGTAATCAAACAACAGCACGTGGCTCAAGAAGGAAGCCGGAAGTGTCAGTTGAGCGCATGCGCAGTTCAGTTCCCGCTTTGAATCGTGTGGCGCGAGTCTGTGGTGAGTGTTGAAGATGTGTAGCACGTACGTAGACGATAAATTATTGAGTTGTGTTTGTTTTGAGATCACCAAATCATATATCGAATCTTTACAGTTTTTCTCAGCATGTTTTAAATGAGTAGTGATGTTTCTAACCTGAACGTGAGCGACGCGACGCGATTAAAACCTGATGCGATTATTAAGCGAATCTGTAGATTTGACGTGTCGCGTCGATCATATTTGCTCAAATATATACATTATAAATATACAAATATATATACATTATTACTATGGTACTTAAACCTGCGTCAAATAATACTATGGTAACGTTATAATCCAAGCTAACAGAGAACGTACCCACAACTTTCTCTAATGTTTTGTAAAGATTATGTAAATGTGGTTTTCTTTAAATAAAATTAATATAACCTTCTTTTAACATTATTAATAACTGATAGACGGAGAAATGATATTAGAACAACGTCATTTATGATGTTTTTACTTGGACGATCTTATGACATGTTCTGAGAACAGTTTGTGTACTTTATGAATGTTAATGTTTACCTTCTGGGAATATTACAAATAACGTTTAAAATAACATAATCTCGACTAGAACACATAAATATTTTAGCTGGGACTGAGCTGGACATCTAAAAATGTAAAACATGGTATGGATATGGAAACTTATTTGTCAATTTGTTAAAGAAAGTGCTTTAAAAAACCCAGCGGGCTACTGATGTGCTTTTTCCTTTTAAAAAATGTTAAATTCTCTCCTATTTATAAAATCCATAATACTCTAAATATGTACTTAATCTGTAAATATGTCCATTCTGACTTAAAGGGTTAGTTCATCTAAAAATGAAAATTATCCCATAATTCACTCTCCCTCGAGACATCCTAGTGTTTATGACTTTCTTCTTTCAGCCGAACACAATCAGAAATATATTGAACATTATCCTGGCTCTTCCCAGCTTTACAATGGGAGTGAATGGAGGAGGAGATTATGAAGCCCTAAAAAGCTCATCATCATCATAACAATAATCCATACGCCCTCAGGGGTTAATACAGGCCTTCTGAAGCCGAGAAACATATCCATATTTATAACTTTATAAACTATAATCACTGGGTTCCGTTAACGGCCGTACACGAGTCTAGTTTGTAGAGTCTGAAGAGTGACCTCTGACCCCACACATGACGCGTGACCATTGAACTGACGCGTGACCTCTGACCCGACGCATGACCATTGAACTGACCTCTGACCCGACACTTGACGCGTGACCTCTGACCTGACGCATGTCGAGTGACCTCTGACCCGACACATGACCTCTCACCCGACGCATGACCATTGAACTGACCTCTGACCCGACACTTGACGCGTGACCTCTGACCTGACGCATGACGAGTGACCTCTGACCCAACACATGACCTCTCACCCGACGCATGACGAGTGACCTCTGACCCGAGGAGTGACCTCTGACCCGACGCATGTCCTCAGACCCGATGAATGACGAGTGACCTCTGACCCGAGGAGTGACCTCTGACCCGACACATGTCCTCAGACCCGATGAATGACGAGTGACCTCTGACCCGAGGAGTGACCTATGACCCGACGCATGACGAGTGACCTCTGACCCAACACATGACCTCTGACCCGACGCATGACGAGTGACCTCTGACCCAACACGTCCTCTGACCCGACGCATGACGAGTGACCTCTGACCCAACACATGACCTCTCACCCGACGCATGACGAGTGACCTCTGACCCAACACATGTCCTCTGACCCGACGCATGACGAGTGACCTCTGACCCAACACATGACCTCTCACCCGACGCATGACGAGTGACCTCTGACCCAACACATGTCCTCTGACCCGACGCATGACGAGTGACCTCTGACCCAACACATGTCCTCTGACCCGACGCATGACGAGTGACCTCTGACCCAACACGTCCTCTGACCCGACGCATGACGAGTGACCTCTGACCCGACGCATGTCCTCTGACCCGACGCATGACGAGTGACCTCTGACCCGACGCATGTCCTCTGACCCGACGCATGTCCTCTGACCCGACGCATGACGAGTGACCTCTGACCCGACGCATGCCCTCTGACCCGACGCATGTCCTCTGACCCGACGCATGACGAGTGACCTCTGACCCAACACATGTCCTCTGACCCGACGCATGACGAGTGACCTCTGACCCAACACGTCCTCTGACCCGACGCATGACGAGTGACCTCTGACCCAACACGTCCTCTGACCCGACGCATGACGAGTGACCTCTGACCCAACACATGTCCTCTGACCCGACGCATGACGAGTGACCTCTGACCCAACACGTCCTCTGACCCAACGAGTGACCTCTGACCCGATGCATGACAAGTGACCTCTGACCCGACGCGTGACGAGTGACCTCTGACCCGACGCATGTCCTCTGACCCGACGCATGACGAGTGACCTCTGACCCGACGCATGTCCTCTGACCCGACGCATGACGAGTGACCTCTGACCCGACGCATGTCCTCTGACCCGACGCATGACGAGTGACCTCTGACCCAACACATGACCTCTCACCCGACGCATGTCCTCTGACCCGACGCATGACGAGTGACCTCTGACCCGAGGAGTGACCTCTGACCCGACGCATGTCCTCTGACCCGACGCATGACGAGTGACCTCTGACCCAACACGTCCTCTGACCCAACGAGTGACCTCTGACCCGATGCATGACAAGTGACCTCTGACCCGACGCATGACGAGTGACCTCTGACCCGACGCATGTCCTCTGACCCGACGCATGACGAGTGACCTCTGACCCGACGCATGTCCTCTGACCCGACGCATGACGAGTGACCTCTGACCCGACGCATGTCCTCTGACCCGACGCATGACGAGTGACCTCTGACCCAACACATGACCTCTCACCCGACGCATGTCCTCTGACCCGACGCATGACGAGTGACCTCTGACCCGAGGAGTGACCTCTGACCCGACGCATGTCCTCTGACCCGACGCATGACGAGTGACCTCTGACCCGACGCATGTCCTCTGACCCGACGCATGACGAGTGACCTCTGACCCGACGCATGTCCTCTGACCCGACGCATGACGAGTGACCTCTGACCCGACGCATGTCCTCTGACCCGACGCATGACGAGTGACCTCTGACCCAACACATGACCTCTCACCCGACGCATGTCCTCTGACCCGACGCATGACGAGTGACCTCTGACCCGAGGAGTGACCTCTGACCCGACGCATGTCCTCTGACCCGACGCATGACGAGTGACCTCTGACCCGACGCATGTCCTCTGACCCGACGCATGACGAGTGACCTCTGACCCGACGCATGTCCTCTGACCCGACGCATGACGAGTGACCTCTCACCCGACGCATGTCCTCTGACCCGACGCATGACGAGTGACCTCTGACCCGAGGAGTGACCTCTGACCCGACGCATGTCCTCTGACCCGACGCATGACGAGTGACCTCTGACCCGACGCATGTCCTCTGACCCGACGCATGACGAGTGACCTCTGACCCGACGCATGTCCTCTGACCCGACGCATGACGAGTGACCTCTGACCCGACGCATGTCCTCTGACCCGACGCATGACGAGTGACCTCTGACCCGACGCATGTCCTCTGACCCGACGCATGACGAGTGACCTCTGACCCGACACATGTCCTCTGACCCGACGCATGACGAGTGACCTCTGACCCAACACATGACCTCTCACCCGACGCATGACGAGTGACCTCTGACCCGAGGAGTGACCTCTGACCCGACACATGTCCTCAGACCCGACGCATGACGAGTGACCTCTGACCCGAGGAGTGACCTCTGACCCGACACATGTCCTCAGACCCGACGCATGACGAGTGACCTCTGACCCAACACATGACCTCTGACCCGACGCATGACGAGTGACCTCTGACCCGACGCATGATGTAGGAGTAGCGTAAGCTCAGGTGAAAGTCGACGCCTCTCGCGGTTCAAACAAACTTTTTGTTTGCGTTCGTCATGGGTCGGGTCAGAGGTCATGCGTCGGGTCAGAGGTCATGCAGGTGTGAATTAGCTGAATGCGATCAATGGTTTCGTGCTCGGTGTGTGAAAGCACCGTTTTTCAGTGATTCGCTTTGCTTTATCGTGTCGCGCTCAGTGTGAAACACATTAAGCTTCATTATCAGGATAAAATCCTTTCTGATTCAGAACATCGTGTCTAAAAAAACACAATGATTCTGTGGGGATTCTTGTTATTGTCATTGGTGTGTTTTAACTGCGGGATGTTTCTAGGGTCTAGTGTTGATAGAGATGTTTTGCAGCTGGAGAGTCCCTCAGGTCTGATAGATGTTCTTGTGTGCAGTCTGTGGTGATGAAGCCAGCCCGCGGGTCCGGAAGGGCCTCCACACGGGGCCCCAAACACCCCGCAGAGAAGAAGACCAGCAGGCCTCACGTGAGACGCAGCTAAAGATCATTCATTATGATTATTACTACTGCTTTATTTTGCCATTGCAGCCTTTTATTCAACATTTATAAGACACTGCACACTATAAATAACATGCTTACAGTCAAACCAAACATCATTCAGACACCAGATATAATTTGTGATATTGTTTCACTAGTGTGTGCAGGACACTATAGTTCATTTCTGTAAGTGAGGAGAGCAAAATAAAGTAAACTGTGACATATTACACCCAATAATTCTTCATACAGTGACTACCAGTAAAGATTGGGAGCAGAAATGATTCGGACACTTTGAGCTGATCATGTTTTGCTGAAGTGTGTTTTCTGTAATTGCTAATGCTCTTTTTACACACACACTGAACAACATGAAGCATTGCTTGGTCACTGGTTGAGCTAAACTGGTATTATCTAATTGTGTAGTTCAATTTAACAGCTGACAGATATTCAACATAATTCATGTGTGAGAGTCTAACAGAGACAGAGAGTGAGTGTGTGTGTGAGTGAGATGGAAAGAGAGAGACAGAGAGTGAGAGAAAAAGAATTGTCAATCTTGATTTCATGGTGACTTTAACTTAGTTTATTCGGTTCTCTAACCCGAATTTCATGTAATGCATTAATAATGAAGTGTATTAAAGTGTTGTCGTCTCTCCTCCAGAAGCCGCCGGCCGGAGCTGAAGGCCCACACGCGGAGCCGCCGAGGACCGGCCGCGGTGAGTGAGCGGCGGCGGGAGACGTCTGTGCTTCAACACACTCGCAGACTCGCTCAAACTCATACGCCAATCTGTTAAAGAACGTTTGCCAAAAAACAAAAAAGAAATCAATGAGTTGCTAAAAATGCTTTGTTTCCTCTTTCTTGAGAAACTGAATATCTCACAAAAATCTCCTGTGTTAGTATATAAAGCTTGTTTCCGCCACAGAATAAAAAAATTACGATTTTTTATCTCACTTTATAACTCGCAATTGTGAGTAAAAAAAAAAAAAAGTCAGAATTGTTGGATATAAACTCACATGTGCAAGAAAAAAATATTTATAAACATTATATCTGACAGTTTTGACTGTTTTTCTCAGAATTGTGAGATATTAACTTGCATGTGTGTGAAAGTCACCGCACAATAAATGTGTAATTCTGTCAGTTTTCTTTGCATTATGACATTATTCCTTTGACATTTAAGCAATTTTCACATTACTAATGCAAAAAAAATCAGCATTACAGGAAATATTTATACATTTAATTGCTTACTGCTTTAATGCTGATTTAATTTAAATGAAAAAAAACGTTGTATTACAGAAATGTGAGACTAATGAGAATCATAAAAGAATAGAATTTATTAGGGCTGTCAGTTAAACGCGTTATTAACGGCGTTAACGCAAACCCATTTTAACGGCGTTAATTTTTTTATCGCGCGATTAACGGCCTTTTTGGCCTAGCAAACTCTGTAGTTTCTTTCACACGCTTTTGCAACAGGACGTGGCGCTGCGCTATGAAACCCATTCATTTCAATGGCTCCAGCTAGACCGGAAACAGGCACGCCACACACACTTGTTTGGGCTTGCGAGCCGGCCAAATAGTTGGTTAACGTTAGTTTTGAGTGGATGACGAGCGCGAGACGCCAAAATGGATGCCAATAAGATTCTGAATGGAAAGTTTACTTTTAAAAAGTTGCCAAATGGTTCCATTGACGAGACCAAAGTGATCTGTGTGTTTTGTCGTTGTGAACTGAGCTATCATCATCGCAGCACGTCCAGTCTGAAACACCACTTGATGATGGCCAAGCACACACACACATACACACACAGCTGATGCGAAGCTCCGCCCCCTCGTCAATATCAGGACCTCGTCAGTATTTCTTTCACCCTTTTATTGATGGACAGTGTTACATTGTGTGAGAGATTATTTGCTCCAAGTGAAAATGTTAGTGTGAAATTGAACACAGTATATGCCAATGTTGTTTTCAATAAAAAACATTTGCACAAAGCAAGCCGATCCACTTTTCCATGTTGATAAGAGCATTAAAATGAGAAAAAATAATGGGACAAAAAGAAATCAAGAGACATTTAGAATAGATAAAAATGTGCGATTAATCGCATTAATGTCATAGATAACTCACGATTAATCGCAACTAATCGCGATTAAATATTTTAATCGTTTGACAGCACTAGAATTTACACAATAAAGGTGCGAGATAAAAAAAGAAACGAGATTCCGTGGGTGAATACTCGTATTAGACTTCATTACAACCAAATCATATGTGATTCAGATTATTTGAATATGTGCAAGTCTGACAGAAGCGAGTAAATGATGACAGATTTGATGTTTCCGGCTGAAGAATCAGTGATATATGATCTGACTGTTTATCTGTGGTTGTCTTTATTATTATTATTACCTGATTCACAGGTAAAGCCTCAGCGATGGTTGTTAAGAGTAAAAATCAGGGAAGTTGGAAGCCGATGAGCAAGTCCTCCTTACTGGCTGTGGAGAAAATGCTGGGTTTGTCCATTCTGTGAGTATAACGTTATGTAATAATCTGTTATGCAATGATTATATGTGTGTGCTGTGGCAGATTGCTTCATCTTCACGGCCTGATATTGATGTTTTTTATTCATGGCTTTGTCTCAGATCTGCTCTGGCATTGAAAAACAGAGAAAAAGAAGAATCGCAGATGCATCTCAACCGGATCAAAGATCGGTGAGAGACGTTCTGGCAAACCTCTGGATCCCAGTTATGAACAAACGTTCTTCCTGTAACGTTAATAGAACGTTCGTTCAAGGTTATCAGGTCAAAGTTATTAATAATGTTCTCAAAACAGCACATTTAAAAGTAACATTCCCATAATGTTTGAAGAATGATGAAATGGGATGTTTCCATAACGTTCACATAACCAAGGAAAATGTTTTTAAAGTCCCCCTGTTATGAAAATCAAGCTTTTAATGTTGTTTATATGTCTATTTTTAATATGCTTTAACCCTTTAAGTGTCACCCCCCTTTTTTTGAATATACATGAAAATGCACATTTCGAACTTAAATGGTTGTAATTCAAGAATGCTTTGGAATATAGACGTAAGATTGGTCTTGTTTTAAAGAAGACATTTGGCAGATTTTTGTAGAAGTGAAATAAATTAAGAAAGTGAAACAGAAAAAAAGTTATAGAAGTTTGAGTTTATGAAAATGTACAATGTAAAAAATTTAATTATTCATATTTTATATAAAATACATATTTTTAAAACCTGGGCGACTGTAAAACGGCAAAAAAATCAAAGCCAAAAATCTGAACAAGTTGTGTTTCAAATTTTAGGTTGATATCTCAAAAAATGAGCTTTCAGTAAGATTTTGTTTGGGCGCAGTACCAAACTTTTTCACTAGGTCACAACCAGACTCCATTACTGCCCATATAAGGGCGCCTCCATTTCCATATGTGTTTTGAGTGAAAGGAACCATTATTTCCACAATTTTCATACAATTTATGAAGTAGACATCCTATTCAGAAGTAATATGAGAAATTTGGCAGATTTTGATATGATTTCAACCTCTAAGAAACATAAAAAGAACACGCATGTGCATTTTAGCTTCCTGCCACATCATATAATTTTTTTCTTTATATAAAAAAAAAAAATTCAGACCTTTTTTTTTTAAATAATTGAATTGATGCTATCTTTTGAACTCTTGGCATGAAAACAAACTGAGGTTTCTACCCTTCTTTCATGATTTTTCATGTTCATCACTATTTCAAAATAAAGGTCTAAGAGTATGAAAATATTATTGTTGCAAATTGATAAATTACGGCTCCTCTGTAATTTATTTTAAAAATATATCACCAAATATGGAAACTAGAGATTGTAAGCTTTCAAATGATATATAGTTTGTCAAGATTAGTTTAGGTTTAGTATGGGATATTACTGTTTTGTAAAGGATTTGGGCCCACCGGTGGGCCCGTGACAGACACACCATGTGTAAGTTCATAAGTCGACAGCATTGCTGAGTATTTCCTCCTTAAAACTGCAGTGAACCAAAGACAGTCTCAAAAACACGGTTTGAAATCGCTGGTGTTTCTGACGTCACAAACGACCTTGTAACCAATCAGATCAACGTGTGATCGTCAACCAGTGGATCTCTGAGCTGAGTGAGTGGAGGCGGGGCTCATCTGCATATTCATAGAGCCGCGCATACTAAACGAGGCGAGGGTGTCGAGTTACACTCAAGATATTTTAAGGCATGAAGAATAAACGAAAAAAACGTTTAAATGTGTAATTTTGGTGATCAAAGATGAGTTTTAAGCGATAAATGATTGACTACAGGAGGACTTTAAAACATGTAATAAACTGGACATTTTGAATGTTCAAAGATCATTCAGAAATAACGTTTATAACTTAATGAGAATGTTAGTAAAACATTTTTAGAACATATTTTTGATAGCTGGGATAGAAGTGTCTAAAAGCCTGTTCACACCAAGAGCTATAACTATATGAGCATCAACACCAGTGGACGATATTGTTCTGTTGATTCTCAGTTTTGTCGTCTGTCGCTTTAAATGTTTGAGCTCTGAAAGAAGAATGGATTCTGATTGGCTGTCAGTGTTTTTAAAGTTGTTCATCTAGAAAAATAATAATTTTTTAGGAGCTTAAAGTGCTTGAATTTGACTTTTTGAAATTCAAGTCCTGGAAAACTTTTGAAAACAGACAGTTTTATGAAAAGGTACTTTTATTAAATTTTAATGTTTAATTTTATTGATAAAACAATCTTTTCACACAAAATGAACACTGCAGCCCGTCTGATATAGAGCCATTTCGCATGGCTATGAGCGTAATATTGCTCATATAAATATCCAAGTATATTATACAGCTTTTATTCTTTAGATCAATCATATATTCATGAGAAAAATAATCAGTTTGAACGAGGAAAGCGATATCTTTGTCATAGTATCCTTTCAAATGTTAAAGTTACCAGTCATTGCATGTGCTGCACTTTATTTGTTTTATTAGTTTATTTTTATTTATACATTTACCTTTTTTAGAAGTTGAAAGATAATAAAGATATTGTTTGATAAGTGAGATCTCTGATTGTAGTTCTTAAAAAACTAAAAAGTAGTGCTTGAAAACTTCTCGAAAGTCCTGGAATTACATGTTATAGTTGTGCTGTGAACTCTTTCATATAACCATCATTATAGTTATCGTCCTTGGTTTGAACGAGCCTTAACTCTTCCACAATCTGTCTCCGCAGGTTCCTGGCCAAGTGTGCGCAGCTTCCTGTTCCCACAAGTAAACATGGAGACCTCATGCGCGTGTCCCATCAGTTCAAAGCTGAGAGTAATAAATCCCAACACGGCAAGAAGACGCTCGAGTCTCTAGAGGTGATGAACGGGTCAAGATGATCATTAGTTTTGTTCGTGACATAACCAGACATTAACTAATTTGACACATGCGCACAAATATATTCAAACGCACATACCTATACACATGTGCACGTCATCAGCGTTTTCACAGATTCACGTTTTTGAAGTTTGCACTTTATTTTTATTTGTATTTTTTATTATTCAACGCCTGCACCTTGGAACCTATTTCAAGGTTTGCGTTCTCGAGCACTAAACACTGTTTTCGTGTTAATGAGCGAGTCGGAGCGCATTAAAGGGGTGGTTGAATATGATTTCACTTTTCTAGCTGTAGTTAGTGTGTAATGTTGCTGTTTGAGCATAAGCAACATCTGCAAAGTTACAACGCTCAAAGTTCAGAGCAAAGGGAGAGATTTACTTTTAGAAATAGTTTTTTAAGGACTACAACAAACGGCGGGTAGAACTACAAGAGCTTCCTCCCGGGTTAGTGACATCACGAACCCTAGAATTTACATAAACCCCGCCCCCTGAACACGATTTATAGATTATCAAGACAGAATATGCTAATCAATGACTAGAAGATAACTCCACATCAGAAACATAATCTCATCAACTAACCATTCAGAAATGTCCTGTTGCTTCTACATGTCGTCACTTCTTCTTCTTGAGTCTCTCCATCTTTCTGACTCCGGTTTGATCATAAAAGGCTAAAAGTTTTTGAGATTTTCTGTGTGTGTGTGTGTGTGAGGTAAAATGACTCGAGCTGTTGAAGCTCCGCCCCCTGTGCCGGGAGCAGCAGCTCATTTGCATTTAAAGGGACACACACACAAAAACGATGCGTTTTTGCTCACCCTCACAAAGTGACAATTTTAACATGCTATAAAACAATATCTGTGGGGTATTTTGAGCTAAAGCTTCACACACACACTCTGGGGACTTCAGAGACTTATTTTACATCATGTGAAAAGGGCATTATACCACCCCTTAAAGGGTTTTCTGTTAGAGCGGTGTCGTGTTAGCGGCCCATAAGTTAATAATAACTACCATAATGATCTTTGCAATGGAAGTGAATCAATCAAAACTAACTTTATCTGGACAATAACTTTATTCTAGAGCTGCTGTAAAGCCAAACAATCTCTGTTACTGTAATCTCCTGTTATCACTGTAAAGCTGCGGTGAAACTCTATAGTGTTAAAGCGCTGTATAGATGAAGGAGACTTGACTTGATTAAGCTTTGCGTGTGCTGGATCTGTTCAGGAGAACATGCGCTCGGTGGTCAGCACTCTTGAGGAGATGGAGGTGAAGATGGATCGTTTGGAGGAGCAATGCAGGATTATGAGAAGCAAACTCGAGGATGAAGAGGAAAAAGCACAGGAGGTGATGTGCTGACACAACCCAGCAAGCCATAGCCATCATTTCACCGTCTAAGTTAACTATAGACCCGATATAGTCCAGATATGAGTAACACACGTCTAGCCAAAATAACCTTGAATGTTGTTTTCGCCAAAATAACTTTTGAGATGTATGATATTCCATCATGTACAAGGTTTCATTTCTTTGACATGTTATTTAATTGATGACTGGGATATGGTTAGACCTCTATTAAATCTTCACTGTATTTTCACAAGTTTAGCCTGGGCGTCAGGGCTGTGTTTGGACGGCTGTTAGACATCTCTTTTAAACACTGGGAACTGGTTTCGCTGGAGCAGTCTGTGATGCTTGTATCTGTGGTTGAATCATGGCGTTTGACTGTGTTCCAGTTTCTCCAGCTGTCGGAGCAAACGGTCCTGCGTGTCCCTGCCGTATCGCCTCGCTCCGCCAATGAGCCGACGCTACAGGTACGCTTCACTGGAACTAGTCCAGTTCACTGTGAATGAGTCATGTTTCACTGTGTTATCACTGTGAAGCTGCTTTGATGCAATCTGTATTGTGAAAAGCGCTATATAAATAAATGTGACTTGACTTGACTTGACTTGACCTCAAAATCAATGACAAGTTAGTTGTTTTTTTTGTTGCATGATGGCATTATTTCTTTGCCAGTTTTGACATTACTGTAATGCAAAGAAATACACTATTGCGTTACAGAAAATATTTATGCATGTTAGTATTTACTTACTGCTTTAATGCCGATTACAGTAAAAAGTAAAATTGTGAGAATAATGGAAATAATAAAAAAGGTTTGTTGCGTTGCACACACACACACACACACACACACATTAAACTTCCCATTTGGCAAAACACCGGTGTATCATATTTTCAGAACTCTGGGAAAGTAAGACCATAGACCATATTTCACCTCAAAATCAATGACAAATTAGTTGTTTTTTGTTGCATGATGACATTTCTTTATCATTCTTCACGTGACTAATGCAAAAAAAAATCGAATTTGGAGTACATAAAAATATTTATACATGTTAATATTTGCTTACTGCCTTTATACTGATTTAAATTGCATTACATAAATGTGAGACTAATGACAATGAAGAAAGAATAATACAGATACGTCACGCTTCACTTGAACATCAGTCGAGTTTACTTTGAATAAGTCATATTTCAAGGCAAGCCAAGTCTATTTATATAGTACATTTCATACACAATGGCAATTTAAAGTGCTTTACACAGAAAGAAATTAAAATAATCACAAAATAAAAGCAAGGAAAATTAAACCGGTTATAAAAGTAATTAAAAGATATATGATCCAGTTATAAAATGTATTAAAAGAGTAAAAAGATGATGCATTGATAAACTTCGCATTTGGCAAAAACACCGGTTTATTAATTTTAGATATTTATATATATTATAACTCATATTACACCTCAAAATCAATGACAATTATTTTTATTTTTTTTGCATTATGACATTATTTATATAAAAAAAAAATGTTAATATTTGCTTGCTGATTTAAATTGCATAATTGCATAAATTGCATTACTAATGACAATCAAGAATAAGAATAATGGAAATTACAAAAAAGGTTTATTGCTTTGAGGTAATGTTTATTTTATTTAATGTTTATTTTCCATAAAAATAATGTCACTGATGTTTGACAATTTTCACATTACTGTAATGCAAAGAAATACACTATTGCGTTACAGAAAATATTTATGCATGTTAGTATTTACTTACTGCTTTAATGCTGATTACAGTAAAAAGTAAAATTGTGAGAATAATGGAAATAACAAAAAAGGTTTGTTGCGTTGCATCAATTAATGATGATTTACAGGGAAAATGTTTATTTGCTATGAAAATAATGTCATAATGCTGAAAATCTTTTCCTAATGCATAATGTAATTTCTTACTGTTTTAATTTGATTTCGAGTGAATTGGGACATATTTTAGTCTCCCAAATAAGAAAGTTGTTTTGTTCGATTGGTTGCCATCTTGAGTAATATCAATATTGATTTCATCACTTTGGAATTCACATGTGGAGTTTACTTTGACTGCAAGTAGTGTCTTGTAGTATATGATCTCTGTTAATGATAAAACAGACTAGTTCTCTTGAATGCACTCTTCGAGGAGCCAGTAACCACAAACATGTGAGACGCAGGTCAGAGGCGAGGAGAGAAGCGGTATGCGCGAGAACGTAGCGCTCAGACACATCTAGCGCTTACACTGAAAAACAGTAGCGCAATGAAATGGAAAAACTGTGTAGCTCTTAATGCTTGAAGAATCGAGAGTTAGGATGTTCTCAGGCCTGCTTGTGTGTTGTGAAAACAAAGTGTTTGTCATGATGGCATAAATAGCGTGAGGTTTTGACACCGTCCTCGCCACATTTTCACAGAAATGCACGCTATAGTGCACAGAAGTCCTGTTGAGACACATGTGTTCACCTTATATGGGACAGTGACAGCGTTATTCAGACAGACTTGATGCAATCTTTTCAGGGAAAGAGGTTTCAACACTTTTTAGAAGTGTTCTGCAAGTGCTTCACAATGTGCTTTTATTAATGCGACTAGGATCCAAAATAAAGGGGTCGAACGGGTCACGAAAATCACGGTTCGGATCATTTTCCGGATCAGCAAAATACATTTATTTATCATTTACTACTTAAAGCTCACTTGAAGTTTTTCGCTACCACATCAAAAACTACTAGCCTAACTTATAAAGTTTAAACATTATTAAAAACAAGTGAACAGTCAGTAATAAAATAAGAACAAATACACACATTACAAGCAGAAATGAACACTATAAAGTCTAATATTAGTAATCAGGTACAGATATTAATAATTAAGCCTAAATGTAAAATAACACTATTTTTTCACTGTAGAAATTAAATATAGTTTCGTCTGTTAAAGCTGTATTGTGTTGTTTTATGAACATTAATGACGCGGACGACAGCAGGAATATTAGGTTGCTGTCACTTTAAGACCGACTAAACTAACACACATCCGGTTTTTCTTTCTCAACTGTTGACTGATGACATAACTGAGAGATATACTTGCCGAGACGGTGTTTAGACATCATTATGTGTGTGTGTGTGTCCATTCAAGGGCAAGGAAACGCGAAAGAGGAATCAATTCAGTGTTTGAGCGCTGTCTGAAACACACACACCTCTCTCTCTCGCACACACACACTCACTCTTTAACACTCACTCTCTCTCTCTGCGTGTGTGTGTGTGCTCACAGATAACACACGAGTCCCGATATTCGCCTCTTCTTCTGTGTTTAAAATTGTTTGAATGTGTAAATTGGGAAGACAAAACACGTCCAAATGATAAACTTTCACTCTATAATGGTTAAATTTAGCAGTTAATCTGCGAATCACACGCGTGCCGAACCGTGGGGAGCGGATCCGAACGCATCACGGTCACCTGAGATCCGTTGCACCCCTAACACACACACACACACACACACACACACACACACACACACACACACACACACACACACACTCACTCTAACACACACACACTCTAACACACACACACACACACACTCACTCTAACACACACACACACACTCACTCTAACACACACACACACACACGCTCTAACACACACACACACACACACACACTCACTCTAACACACACACACACACTCACTCTAACACACACACACACACTCACTCTAACACACACACTCTAACACTCACTTTAACACACACACACACACACACACACACACACACACACACACACACTCACTCTAACACACACACACACACACACTCACTCTAACACACACACACACACGCTCTAACACACACACACACACACACACACACTCACTCTAACATACACACACTCTAACACTCACTCTAACACACACACACACACACACTCACTCTAACACACACACACACACACTAACACACACACACACACTCTAACACTCACTCTAACACACACACACTCACTCTAACACACACGCACACTCACTCTAACACACACACACACACACACACACATACACACACACTCACGTCTCACTCCCACACAGCACACACACACTCACGTCTCACTCCCACACAACACACACACACACACACACTCTAACACACACACACACACACACACACACACTCTAACACACTTACTCTAAAACACACACACACACACACACACACTCTAACATACACATACACACACACACACACACACTCTAACATACACATACACACACACACACACACACACACTCTAAAACACACACACACACACACACACACACACACACACACTCTAAACACACACACACACACACACACACACACACACACACACACACACACACACACACACACACACACACACACTCACTAACTCTAACACACACACACACACTCACTCTCTCTAACACACACACACTCTCTCATTCTAACACACACACACACACACACACACTCTCTCATTCTAACACACACACACACACACACACACACACACACACACACACACACACACACACACACACACAGACAGACAGCAGTTTCAACACTAAACACTTTTTAGAAGTGTTATGCAAGTGACTCACAGTGTGCTTCTGTGTGATTTGATTCGTCTGCTAAACTACTGTTGTTGTTCCTTCAGGAGCAGCTCATGAAGATCGTTCCCAATCCTCCGGCAGTGGTGCGAGCTCTTCAGGCGGTTCCGGTCCTCGGGGACGCAAGGGCTTTTCTGGAGCTAGCACATGAACAGGTGGACTCAGTACAAGCCCGTAATGACAAAACCCCGGCCTGACCAGTCCGTTCCTCAAGCTTTACACACTCACAGAAACAGCCGATCAACAAAACAACTGCTCATTTATTTCAAAATGACAAGTTTGCATTGAAAATGACACTGAAATTACATTCGTCTCAAGCATTAATGCAACAATATCAACACAAACGCTGGAATTCAGAAGATTTAGCTCATCAGATCATGTACGGCGAATTGAACAGCAGCTTCTTAATCTTTAGTTTGTTTAAAGTTTTAGTTTGTATGTGCTTTGTTTAATGTGTGCCAGTAAAAAAGTAGTTTCTACTTTAAGACAGTTTAATTTAAGCCTTCAGTCAAAGCAAGCAAGTCCAGAGGTAAAGCCTTGTCTTTCATTTGCTGTAGAAATGCAAAGTGCTACAATAATACATCATTAAAAAGAAAATCTCACAGAATTGGTGTCCGAAATGCTTTCATGTCCATCGAATGGTTATAAAATGGTCTCAGTCCATCTCTTGTGCAGAGATTTATACCGTATGTGATATGAGGTGCAACATGTTTATTCCTGTTGTCAATTTTTCATCGTTTGCCGACTCCAAAGCACTGGAGATCTGGGGTGTGTCTCCCGTACACTCGCGTAACTCTCTGCTTCACTATCATAATACGAGGCATCGATGAGGAAATCCACTAGCGAGTCGCGACTGTTCCCCGAAACCGTATTGTCGCACATTGGTCGTTCTCCCACGTTGGTTGATGACGTCACGGGTACGGGAATTGTAATGCCATTTGTGTTACGACGCGCCTTTGCGTACTTAAAGGGTAACTGTCGTCAAAATGCAACCTAGGGTCTTTTTGTTAATCTACCCGAGGCAAACTTTCGTTTAAAAGCATAATTAGAATGGAAACGCCACTTTTAAGTTTGACCGTATTTTCGTTTTCGGTTCATAATCCTCACCATGAAGTCTAATGAACGCCATGGAAACTAAACAATCAAATTACACTTCAAATTAAAGATGTTTTCTGTCATTTTAGGTAGTTTTTTTTCACGCTGATGTAAATTTAAGTGTTGTTTTTTAAAATAAGTTTGGTCTTTAGTTAGTTATTTGATGCTATAAAAACGGGAATGTGACGTCATGATTGACAGCTGTGATTGACAGCTTCTACACTGAGGAAGACTACACTTATTAAAGGAGTAGTTCACTTTTGAAAAAACTTTTGCTGATAATTTACTCACCCCCATGTCATCCAAGATGCCTATGTCTTTCTTTCCTCAGTCGAAAAGAAATTACGGTTTTTGATGAAAACATTCCAGGATTTTTCTCCATATAATGGACTTAAATGGGAACCATACGGTCCAAGGTCCAAAATACAGTTAATAACAGTTTCAGATGCAGCTTAAAATGTCTTTAAACGACACCAGACGATGAATAAGGGTCTTATCATGCGAAACGATCGCTCATTTAAAAAATAAATAACAACGTTTAAGTTTTATAAGCTCACATGCTCGCCTTTCTCTGTTCTGTGTGACTCTCCTGTTCGAACTTGTTCATCAAAATGAACAAATCTTTTTTCGAGTCAATTCGTTCATTTCGGTCGTTAAATGAATCAAATGACTCGAAAAAAGATTTGTTCTTATTCATCGTCTGGTGTCGTTTAAAGACATTTTAAGCTGCATCTGAAACTGTTATTAACTGTATTTTGGACCTTGGACCGTATGGTTCCCATTTAAGTCCATTATATGGAGAAAAATCCTGGAATGTTTTCATCAAAAACCGTAATTTCTTTTCGACTGAGGAAAGAAAGACATATAGTATAGAAATATACTATTTCTAATTTTGCTCCGTTTCCAGATTCAGTCCTAGACTCGTTCTGACACACTCGAGCTCGTTCACACATGCGCACTCTTCAAACACGACACTTTAAATCTCTCGACAAACTAAACGATCTAAATTACATTTGTATGTGTTCTAAACAAAAGATACAGTTGCACTGAATGTCAGCTTAGGTATTTTGCTCAGGATTTATTGAGTCCACACGTCATGCTTCTGACCGCAGCTCGAGATCTGTCGCTCACACACACAACTTTGCGATTCTGTTTGCGAATGTTCGTGGGAACGATGGTTTCGGGAAACACCGACTCGCTGAACTGATGATAACGACAGAACTTGTGACCATACTTTGGCTAACGATGCTTTCGGGAAACACACCCCTGGTTGGTTATCCAATTTTTGTCGTACAGATCGGCCTCTTGAAGCTCCACTAAAACTGAGAGTCTCTCCTCCGCAAAGACTTTCTTCGTAAAGACTCGGATAATTCCTCATTGAAGACTCGCTCGATCGTGGAGAGAAGTGACGCACGAACGGTGCGTCCGAGTCCTCGAGCCGCGAACACGTACATGACGGGATTGAGCGCACTTTTTATGTACACTAGAAATAGCGCTACGTAAGCGCCTCCAATCGCTCCCTCTCTGACCTTCTTCCAGTCCGGCCGATCGTATGTAAGAGCCCTTAAAAAGCGGCATGTAAAGTAAGGGACCCAACAAGTCAGAAAGAGGAGCATTGTGAGGAAGAGGACCCGGTAGAGACGAGTCAAACGCTGGGATGTGTAACTCGGTCCAGATGACGAGGTTGGCGAAGACACGGCGCCTTCGGCCTTCTTCGCGCAAAAAACCACTGCTATATTGCAAGACAAGAAGATCACAAGTGGTAGCAAGAATCCTGCTACGGTTTCCACAACTATTAAAGCTTGTCCTACTCCCATTTCGCTTTCAATGCATGCCGTACGGTTCTCCCAGAGAATGATTTTAGCCGTGCTAATGTAAGGTGCCGCGAATGCCGCGGCTAACACCCATATGGCAGCGCATGCTAACGGCACGGCCCACCGAGGGCGTTTCAATCGCGCCCAAACTGGTCTCAGCAGACACAAGCAACGCTCCACCGCGACGGCGCACAGCAAGAACGCGCTCGCGTACAATCCAAGACAGCGCAAGTAAATAACCAGCTTACATACGGGCTCCCCTAATGTCCAAGTGAAGTGGTTCGCTAAGTACGGTAGCATTAGTGGCGTACGCAACAGCAGCACCAAGTCCGCAAGCGCCAGGTTCACGACGTAAATCCGAAAGCTGTCGGCGCTTTGCGTCTCGCGGCTTGCTCCTTTATTCCGGCACCAAACTCGAACCCCCAACGCCCAGACCACCAGACCGTTCAGAGAAACGCCCACGATGAAGATCGCCACGGTCACGATCATCTGCAGGACTCGCATGCCGTCGCTGGGGTAGATGGTGGTGTGTGTCGCGTTCATCGGGGCGTCGGTAGACATTGATTCTCTGTGAAAATACAATAACACATGGTTTATCTTTATGTAAGCATTTCACTCTTAAAAACAAAGGTTATAAAAGGGGTTTTCCTGGCGATACAATAGAAGAACCCTTTTTGGTCCCCCCAATCGTCAAGTCGCGTCTCCTTCATCTATAGAGCGCTTTAACACTATAGAGTTTCACAGCAGCTTTACAGTGATAACAGGAGATTACAGTAACAGAGATTGTTTGGCTTTACAGCAGCTCTAGAATAAAGTTATTGTCCAGATAAAGTTAGTTTTGATTGATTCACTTCCGGTGCAAAGATCATTAGTTATTAACTTAGCGGACGCGCAATAACATCAGTGCATTGGTAGACATTGATTCTCTGTGAAAATACAGATGAGACGAGTTCACATACAGTCGTCTCCAATCACACGTGGATCTTTATTGTAAGCATTTCACTCTTAGGGCTCTAACACACACACCCGGCGCAATGCAGCGCCAAGCGCGACACAAGTGTGTTTTGCTAGTTTCAGCCCGACGCAATTTTCATTTTCACGTCCTACGCCACCTCGTTTAAATGGCAAATGCATTTGTGCCTATTTGTGCGCGTATGGGCTGCTGGTCTGAGAACGAGTGTGTGTTCAGGAGCATTTGCTGGAGCGTTGCTGTTCTGAGGAACTGAAATAGACTGAGCCGTTCATCAACAACAACCTGGTCTAGCACACTCTGCTTATTACACACACACTCTGCTTATTACACACACAGGGACATGCAGCTGCACACAAACTAGCCAAATATTAAAAATAAAAGGATTACAATGTAAAACATTAATATTGTGTTCATAAAGATATGGTGGAATCTGGTTTGTCCCATAGATGGTCTTTTTGCGATTCAACCTCACATTTGATTTCTTTATTTGAATCCGCCAATCAAATTTCTTACAGAAAGGGTTCAAATATTCTCAGAGATAACACAGCTTTGACATTCAAGGGTACATAAAGCATATCTTACGCCACACAGCAAGGCTGCCTATCACAGCAGATATAGAGCAAAATTTTGCCAGCTGTTTAGACTTTCCTTTCGGTAGCCCTGCCAGTCTCAGTCCACTAACAGCCGATTTGTGGACATGTCCCAGGCTGCCAAATATCAATGCCACAAGCTTACATGCATAGCCTAGGTCACTAATCTTTGCAAGGAGGGGTTGGTATTTAGTCATTTTTTCTAAAAAGGCTATGTCCATATACAAATCATAAACACAACCTATTTCAAGGACTAGCACCTCCTTTCTATCTGTATCCATGAGCACAGCGTCAGGGGTGTTAGGGATGTTTCTAAACAAATCATCAGAGCTGTTAAACCAGTCCGGTATTACTCGTGAATGTTTATACATAGGCATATTTTTTGGAAATATGTTTTGAACAGCACTTGCAATGAGATCTACAATACGGTCATGGCGTGCTGTGTATAACCCTTTGTACATATTACAGCCATTTACAATATGGGCAACTGATTCAAGGTGATCAGAGTTAGAGTGCATTATGCAATGTGGATAGTAATTTTCAGGGTACCATAATGCTAGATTGTATCTGGTTGGTAACACCTGTAGTCTGGCCTTGACAGTGAAGTAAAGAATATCCGCCCCTATTGCAGCATTTCTGTACATAGAATGAGAGGTAGAATGGTCAGCATGAGCTGAGTGAACCTCACACACACACACACACACACACACCAGGGCTGCCAACTCTCACGCATTCACCGTGAGACTCACGCAATTGAGCCAATTCTCACGCTCTCACGCCACACCCCCGATTTCTCACGCTGAAGTGTCAACCCGGTCGGTCAAATGCCTGAAAGATAAGTTTATCTATAGATCTACCAGTTGAGCCATTCGTGATCGACTAGTTTTACCGCAAATTAGTTAAAATATCCTGTAATCTATAGCGAGCGAGCGTGCATGCGAGACAGATGTGTTGAGCTCTTAACGGCGCGCTCCTAACCGCGCACGCGCACGACGGCAGAGAGGTAAGCGAGCTTGCGTGTCTTTCGCAACACAACCCAGTGGACAGTTGCACTGTATTGAGACAGTTGAGAAATAATAATATTTTTAACGTTTTCAACAATAATTGTCATTGTTGAACCCTTGCTCTTATTATATTTCTGATTTCTCAGTTTTGTCATTATTTTAGCAAATCATTTATTTTATATGTTTTGAGACAGTTTGTTTTAAGAAGTTTAGTTAGTAAAAGAGTAAAGTAAAAGTTAAAACTTTTTTTATTTAAGTAGGCATCTATTTTTTATTAAGTAGGCCTATTTATTTTGTATTAATACATAACTTTACTGTATTCATTCATAATGTATCATTATTGCGTGACATTTGTGTCAATAATCGTCAAGCACAGGGGACTTCGCGTAGTGGGAGGGGGCCCCCAAATCAAATTCTGCTTAGGGCCCCCAAAAGGCTCGGACCGGCTCTGGAGACCAGACAGACAGTGTGAGTTTTTTGTGACAATTGTGAGGGAAATACACAATTTATTCCCATAAACTGTGTAGTCAGCCGTTCTCCCTCCCATCTGCACCGTGTGAATTGTGAACGCAGGCAGGTCAGTGAGTTACAGGGCGCTCCTTGTCTCCATCCAGTTTAGGCTGGTAATAGGCCTGTTATATAGTTTATATAGAATTAAGTTAGCAATAGCAGAGTTGTTTGTTTTGCAGCACTGAGCAGTTATTTTACATAACTTTATCATAAAAACAGTACAAAAGCATTTCCAGATGACAAATATGGACATGCCTAGTAGTTAATGTTAATTATTGTTTTCTAAGAACAGAATGTCAATTAAAATGTTAAATGTAAAATTAAATGTAATGTAAATCTCCCAAGAAATTCTGTACAGATACCAAATTGACAATCAATATATTTAATACACTTCTGCTAATGCAAGGATTTTGTGTTTGTATTTTTCCCCACACCAAGCCACGCCCCTCAATAAGCCCCTCCCCCATAACCCAAGCCCCGCCCCCCCAAATCTCACTCTAAGCTGAACTCAAAAGTTGGCAGCCCTGCACACACACACACACACACACACGAGCAGAGCCATTTGCGCTCTAGAGAAGCGTTCAGTCTTTCCGTTTGCAAATTGCTCCATCTAAATAGCGAATCCGCCATGACACGAGCGCAACTGGCTTTTAAAGGGAATGGGAAATTACACTCTGATTGTTTTTTTTGCACATTACGCCCAAAACACACCCATTACTCATTAAAAGAATAGAGACAACACTTTTAGACCAGCGCCAGGAGCGCCGACCATTTTTCCTGTCGTTAAACTACTAGCAAAAGTGGATTCGGACGCCCTAAGTGCACTTAGGCTTTAGACCATGCGCTGACATCGTTCAAATAGGGCCCTTAAACATTTTTTTGTAACATCAAGTAGCATAAGGAGTCTTATAGTTTTTATATCTTGGTTAATCATCTGTTTACTAAATTGGACATCATGCATCACTAGCTATATTTTTAAGCGAGAATTCATACTAATTCTGTGATATGAAATACTTAATTTGCTGTAAATTTTTGGCCTGTAAATAAATGTATTTGTGTTATTGGATTGTAATTTGCAGTTACGTCGAAAAAGTAATCTGATTACGTAATGCACATTACTTGTATTGCGTTACTTTACTTGTTACTTTATTCATGTAACGAGTAAAGCAATACAAGTAAATCAGATTACTTTATTCATGTTACTTGTAATCCATTACTTTACTCGTTACATGAATAAAGTAATCTGATTACGTAATGCACATTACTTGTAATGCGTTACTTGTTACATCAAAAAAGTTATTGATTACGTAATGCACATTACCTGTAATGTGTTACTTTACTCGTTACATTAAAAAGTAATCTGATTAAGTAATGAACGTTACTTGTAACATCAAAAACGTAATCTGATTACATAATGCATGTTTCTTGTAATCGTTACTTTACTCGTTACATGAATAAAGTAATCTGATTACATAATGCATGTTTCTTGTAATCGTTACTTTACTCGTTACATGAATAAAGTAATCTGATTACATAATGAACGTTACTTGTAACATCAAAAAAGTAATTGATTACGTAATGCACATTACCTGTAATCGTTACTTTACTCATTACATGAATAAAGTAATCTGATTACATAATGCATGTTTCTTGTAATCGTTACTTTACTCGTTACATGAATAAAGTAATCTGATTACATAATGCATGTTTCTTGTAATCGTTACTTTACTCGTTACATGAATAAAGTAATCTGATTACATAATGCATGTTTCTTGTAATCGTTACTTTACTCGTTACATGAATAAAGTAATCTGATTACATAATGAACGTTACTTGTAATGCATTACTTTATTCGTTACATCAAAAAGTAATCTGATTACGTAATGAACGTTACTTGTAATGCGTTACTTGTAACATCAAAAACGTAATCTGATTACATAATGCATGTTTCTTGTAATCCGTTAATTTACTCGTTACATTAAAAAGTAATCTGATTACGTTATGAACGTTACTTGTAATGCATTACTTGTAGTGTGTTACCCCCAACATTGCTCATTTCAGAGGAGTTTTAAACACCTGATCGCTAGTTTTTGCACAGTCTGAAAACATCAATAGATCAATGTAGATTTCAGTCTGAGGGTTTTAAATTTGTCCATTTTGAATATAATCAGAATGATCAGCTAATTAGGGTAAATCAGCCACAGAGTTGGACCTTCACTGGATCTTTGATCACTTCCTCATGTTCTGATATCAAAGACATGTAAAGTTTAACTTGTATAAAGTTCTCCGTCTGCTGGTTGAACTCACTTGCATTTGCAATAATTTAAGCTATATTATATTTTTTGTTTATATTTGATATTTTTCATAAGATTTGATCTCATTTTATTTATTGGTTTGTTAAATACACAGTGTTGCTGTGTTATTACTGTATTATATTTAATACAGTACATCTTCACTTTAAGTGGACATCGGAAAATCTCTGAAAGTGTAA